GACTCCACACATGTAATGTCATCATCACTGTAAGACCTCGAATTCCTGGAGCTATCAGCCAGGAAAGAGAAAGTAAACAACATCCGGTTCCAAAAATATTACAATAATTACGTCTTACTTTTTTTGATTTGTGATCAAAGTTGTGTTCAACGGAATAAAACCGCATCTCAAGGTTAATCCAATGTCGTTGTGTCACGTAGAATTTTTTTTACTGATAATCAATCATCATATTTATCGGCAATATACTCGGATATAAAGTATTGCCGTCTTACAGTCGTTATAGTATTACCTATAGGGAAAATTTCTGAACAAATTTCACCCACTGACGACGAATGGCTGGGTTCTTGGAAACGCATGAGTCGGATACGCCATTCTCTGCATTTGCTGTCGCACTACAGCCATACAAAAACACATCTATTCACCATAATAAAGGTCGGCTATTCACATGCAAATGCTTATTGAATGTCCGCCATTGTTTTGTGCCCGTCTCCTCTGCTCTCGTCATCATCCGAAGATTCCCGACGATTCCCGAAGTATTTCGTTTCATTGAGAGGGCGCAGTAAAATTGAAAATAAAATGAAACTAGGCGCATGAAATTAAAAAAAATTGTTTATTATGCTTATTTTTAATACAAATACATAAGTTAAACCCAAAATTCGCGGATTTCCACTATCCCTTTAATATGTATCTGTAGATAGATACCCCCAAGCTTTTTTCTTATTAAAAGAAGACCTTAGCCTAAAGTATTCTTTAATTTTTAAATAAAGCCTTATAGTTTGTCTGTTTTGCACATCCTCCTATCAGGCACTAAACTGTTTTATTGTAGTACAGTATCTTCTTGATATTTTCTATTATATATTTATATCATTGACCTTCTACTTTCCCACTATTTTGTATGTACTCTTAATATTTAAATGTTTTCATCAAATATAACACATTCAAAAGAGCTTTACAAAAATGAAAGACATTAAGAAAAAGACATTTTAAACAGTCATTAAAAAGCAACATAATCTACCTGCATTGCAATTACTCCAAACGTGTAATAACGTGCTTTAACCAGTAGGAGGTGCGGGTTAAAAAGCTGTCAAGTTTACAGTGTTAACAAAATAAAATTTACTGCTGTTTCTGGTTTAGTTTACGACGGATATATTTTGTTATTGTTTTGATATTTGTAACACAAACGCGATGGAAAAACCCCACAGCAACACAGAAAATATGGTCTTAACATGACCCAGCGGTCTAGTAGTTAATAAAAAACAATAATATCAAAACAGATTATTACTACTAACTTTATTGTGAAATTAAAACATTACATTACATTACATTACATTGCATTTAGCTGACGCTTTTATCCAAAGCGACTTACAATAAGTACATTCGACCAGGAAGACACAACCTTGAAGAAAACAGAATCATATAAGTATATCAGGTTTCATAGAGCCAAACATTTCAAGTGCTACTCAACTGGCTTTAGGTAATCCAGTCCTTTATTAGTATAAAAGTGCTTCGTTAATCGTTCTAACGCTCGAAGTGGAGTCGAAAGAGATGAGTTTTCAGTTTGCGCCGGAAGATGTGCAAGCTATCTGCCGTCCTGATGTCAATGGGGAGCTCATTCCACCATCTTGGAGCCAGGATAGCAAACCCACGTGTTTTCGCCGATGGGAACTTGGGTCCCCCTCGCAGCGAGGGCGCAACGAGTCGTTTGGCTGATGCAGAGCGTAGTGCACGCGCTGGGGTGTACGGTTTAACCATGTCCTGGATGTAGGAAGGGCCAAAACAGAACGGTAAAAGAATAGTTTCCGGTCTATTCTGATGCCCGATCTCTGTAGATAAATAAAGAACTACGATAGATGTGTAATATTTAATGCAGCCAAACCATTTATTACAATGCATTCATGTGATGACTTTCAAAGAGTAAAGCAAGCACTGCTGAATAAAGTATGATTTTATCTTTTACGAAACGTGTTTTTTTATATGGAATGCAGTTGGAGGTCAACCAATCACAGAGCTTGAGGACTGATCACGGGGTTTGTCAAGCTAAGCACATGGTGTAATCCCAAACGATAGCTGAGGATTCTGGGTAGTGTAGTGTCTTCTGCCATCCAAAAACTCCGAAAAAATATTCGTTTCTCCGAATCGAAGGGCAAAAATACAAAAGCATTGTACACATTTTAAACCAATCAATGTTGTGTAATTAACAAGGATAATCTGGTGTTTTGAGTTGATGAGTAGTTCAGATATCACTGTAAAATCAATCGACAGTAAGGAGAATACTTACTTCCGGGTGTAAAATTCTCCGTTATCCAATGGGAATGGACGCTCGTCGTTCGTAATACAATAAAGGGGACATGATCATTATCTTTTAAATAACGTTAACTAAAGGGAACAATCTATTTGACACAGCTGAAGCTCTGGCCTTCCTTAAAAACTAACTAATTTAATAAAAATCACAGTTGTATTACACACAATGCACTGTTTTTTGAGAACAAAAATTCGTAACTAATGTAATTTTTACATTCTGACGAAAAATAAAAATTATTATGAACACATATAAAATAAAAGAAGCCTCCCGTGAGTTACTACAAGCTATAAAGTAGATTTTAAAAATGTTTTATAGAATAAAAGCTCACTGCGGGACGTTGTAGAAATGCGTGTGTGCACCACGACAAAAGAGCCTCATTCACTTTACATTAGGGTTTTTTGCGTGGTGCCGACACGTAAATGGAGCAGAATGCGTGACTCCACCACGCAATGCGGTGTTAAGGAGTCGTGGTGGAGTCACGCATTCTGGTGAGATCAGGTTGCTCCAATGACCATTAGACCATTTAGTAAGGTAACAAAACCAAAACCAAAAAGGCCTCTCAGACGCTCTTCCGCTTACTTGTGTAATAAAGAAAAATATATGGACGTAGATACACGGATTAGGGCGACACCATCTGGTCATAACTTTAAATATTTGACCATGTTTATGTGCAGATGAAGAACTCTCACTGGTTCAGAACCTTTTTCCTTAAGTGAGTCTCTTTTCTTTTCTGACTTTATGGGTATTTCATTTTATATTAAAGGAATGCTCCACTCATTAGATAATTAATCAAAACTTCAGTATTTAGTGAAACATTATGTTTAAACCTGAAGAAATCAGCGATATTCCCCGGTAAATAATGATTTTATAGCTCTTTTTTATCAAAACCTGTATATTCCGTCAGGCCGCTGCCATTTTGCCCATTTTCAGTAGTCACGTGATGGTCGTGACGTCATCCATGCGTTCACTTTGTAAACACACGAAAACATGGCATAGTATTTGAGTTCGGACTCGTCAGCCGAGGAAGAAGTTTTGAGCAATATGCAGAGATTGGATGGGGGAATTCAGCCATACAGGTTCGAGCCTACTTAGTACTACTTAGTAGATACAATGATTTTGATTACTAGATATGTATGCATGTAGTACCACCCTTGCTAGCGATTCCCTCTCTAGTTTAGCATACTCAGCCTCGTTGTCCCTGGCCCTAGAACCACGATTTTATGGGGCCGGAAAAACTAGGGGGAAATACCCACTAGCCGGTACTACGCTATATGGAAAGGCCACCAAAAACTGGCCTGGCCTGGACGATAAAGGACGTTTAAACGGGGCTACCCGCTGCAATGGAAATGCGCTATAACATACCTTATTCTTACTCCGAGCACTACTTCTGGTCCTCCGTCGCTTCACACTTGCAGAGGGCGATTTCTCAACTGGCCGAACTGGTGTCCTAGTCGGTGATGACACCAGAAAGACCGATGGTACTGCATCTCCATTAAGTAATGGTTGTTCAATAAATCCCATGTTATGTTTTATCATACTCTCAGAGTAGTCGTCCGGAAACTTGAAATGTTCGCTGCATACATGCGCCTGTGGATCTTTCGGTTCGGGCCGGCCACATTTCGCTAGCCACTGCCTCCGAACGTACTTCCTATGCTTACCTTTTGGCAACAGATGGAACCGAGCATTCCGTGGATTGTTCCTATCAGAATTGTGGCAATGTTTCGCGATACAATGAGGCATATTTGAAGAGAGTAACTACAGTAAATAACATGAACATCAACGTGTCCTCGAAACCAAACGCATGGTTTACGTCACGTCCGGTAAAATGGCGCCGCCCGCAGTGTTGATGTTATTTCGGTAATTAATCAGTTTAAAATCACTGATAATGTCATCGGATTAAAAAAAAAGAAAAGAAAGACTGGCAGAGACTGGTCTGTTTTATCGGATGATAATTATTTAAAAAATAAGTGTCAAGAGTATACCATTCCTTTAAATACATAACAATAAGAGTTCAGAACATCTAATACACTTCACTATGAATCCAGAACAATACAACTGCAGCAGTATGGATAAAGCGATATGTTTGCATGCATTTTGAGCAGAATCCAGCAGTGTGGATCATGCTGTTCATAATCTATATGTAAAGAAAAAAGTCTAGATATTTAAGATAAAGCTGTGAAACAATCTCAATAATTGGAATAAAAGGATACATGTTGAGATAGAAAGTTTTAATATCTTAAGAGAAGAGCTTGAATATTAAAAAATACAAACTCTTTTGGCTCCTTCCTGTCTTTCTACTCGGTCTTTCTTGGCTTTGTACTGGCTATCTTCTAGCTCTATTCAGGTTTTTGGAGTTCTTTTCTAGCTCTATCCCTGATCATTTTCAGAACCTGAAGGCTCTACTACAACTATAACGATATCTTCTCTATCTACAACTATCTTCTGGTTCTTTTCGGGATCCATCCACTATCTCGTCTCTGTCCAGTGAATTACACTTTTGTTACTGGAGCAGGTAAAACATACAACAGATACTTTCAGCATTATCGGAGCACGAAGTGCAAGCTTGGATGAAACACAGCGGACTTCTAAACAATGAACACCCTCAACTTGGAAGAAATAAAGTTGGGTTTTATGCGTTCTAATATTGCAATGTAAACCCATGATGTAATGACAGTCATTAAGAATATTTTAGTCATTGAATGCTCATTTCAGTAGATTTAATCAAACAAAACATAAACATATTGGACATGGCCTCAAGACTGTAACCTCTTCACATTCTGTTGAAATAGTCAATTACTAGCCATATCTTACACATTGCTGTTTTGAATCATTAATACATGGATGAAAGTTGAACTGGATGATGTAACATGTATGCCATCTGCTGGAAAGCAGTGATGCAAACACAGGTATGGAAAAGTCATATGTATTACAGTTGCAGGTGGGTGAAATCAGGCTTAGGGAGTAACGTATTACATGTAACGGCATTAGGTCATCAGGAGACAAAATAGAAAAATGTATTCCTTTACAGTTACAGAAGCAGCTGACGACCAACACACTTATGTCTTTTGAAACGATTATGCCATTTAAATCTTTTTTCACAAACTTTGCAGCTTTATTTCCCCTCTCCTGTGTGGACTCTCATATGTGTCTTTAAAGCATCACTCCGTGAAAAAGTTTTTTTACAGACTGAGCAGCTGTGTGGTTTCTCTCCTGTGTGGACTCTCATGTGTCGTTTTACACCTCTTTTCATTGCAAAATATTTCTTACAGACTGAGCAGCTGAAAAGTTTCTCTCCTGTGTGGACTCTCATGTGTCGTTTTACATCTCTTTTCATTGCAAAATATTTCTTACAGACTGAGCAGCTGAATGGTTTCTCTCCTGTGTGGACTATCATGTGTTCCTTTAAACTTCCACTATGCACAAAAGATTTGGCACAAACTGAGCAACTAAAGGGTTTCTCTCCTGTGTGGATTCTCATGTGTGCCTTTAAATTTCCACTATGTGAAAAAGCTTTCTTACAGACTGAGCAGCTGTGTGGTTTCTCTCCTGTGTGGCTTCTCATGTGTACCTTTAAATGTCCATTCTGTGAAAAAGCTTTTTTACAGACTGAGCAGCTGAATGGTTTATTTTCAGCACTACGTCGTGGATCACTGACAGATTCATGTCTATTTTTCAGTGAGTTTGAGACTGATGTAGGTTCTCTGGTCTCTTTCCAATCAGCACTGTCTTCAGTGTCAGGTTCAGAAGACTCTTCAGTGTCAGGTTCAGAAGAGTCTCCAGTGTCAGGTTCAGAAGAGTCTTCAGTGTCATCCTCAGTCTTTGGTTGTAAACTGCTCTCTGGATCCGAGTTCCTGGCTGGTTCTGGTCCTCGACATTCATCTCCATCAGCTTCTGTTTCCATGTGTTCCGTTTGTCTTCGATAAGGCTGTGAGGACTGAGGTTTCTCTTTATCATCTTCACTCTTCATAGGGTCAGGAGTGAAAGTGGACTTGGTGATATCAGCCTCCTCCAGCTCCTGAAGCTGCTCTGCCTCCTGACTGATCCTGAGTTCCTCCTGTTCCTGCTTAATGGGTGGGGGGGGCTCTGGGTCCTCCTGGTCCAGACTGGTGCTCCACTCCTGCTGGTCAGGGAGAAGCTCTTCTTTAACCACCACCAGCAGCTGGACATCTGCAGGAAACAGGAAACACACAGTCAGAACAAACTGTTAAGTGTTAGCATTTAAACATTGAATCACCATTACAATGGGAGACATTTTGTAGCCCTAATTAATGCCTTTGTTTTTATATTTTCACATTATCTTTTTTAGTCCCACCTATTGTGTATTTTTGTTGGCTCAATTCACCTTATGTAGCCCAGCCCCTTCCCACTTCCAGTTAAAAATGAAAAAGGTTTTTTCTTCTTCTGGCGTAGCACTAGCTGCAATGTAAACAATGAATTCTATTTGGGATCGTTCACAGATACACTACGCCTACAGTATACAATTAAAATACTCTTGTTACAAATTAAAATCCTGCATTCAAAACGTATGCAAGTATTAACAGAACATTTTACGGCACCTTCTTATGTAAAAGTAATGATGGTGCAGTAAAATGTTCCCTGTCAGTTTTCAATTCTTGATTATTTCGTATGTTGCATTTTACTGCTTTACATGTTCAAAGTTGCGCGTGTATAAATGATTATCGATGAGGGAACCTGCTAAATATTAAAATGTGTGTGTTTTATATACAGTACCAGTCAAATGTTTGGACACCTTCTCATTCAATGTTTTTTGTTTATTTTAATTTGTTTCTACTTTGTAGACATCAAAACTATGAAAGAACACATATGGAATTATCTAGTTAACAAAAAATTGTAAAAAAAAAAAAATCAAGAATATGATTTTTATTTTAGATTCTTCAAAGTAGCCCCCTTTTGCCTTGATGACAGCTTTGCACTCTTGGCTTCTCTCAGTCAGCTTCATGAGTGCTTCACCTGGAATGGTTTTCAATTAACACGTGTGCCTTGTCAAGAGTCAATGTGTGGAATTACTTGCCTTCTGAATGTGTTTGAGACCATCAGTTGTGTTGTGCAGAGGTAGAGTTAGTGCACAGTGGAAAGCCCTATTTGACTGCTATTGTAATCCATATTATAGCAAGATCGACTCAACCCAATAAAGAGAAACGACCGTCCATCATCACTTTAAGAAATGAAGGCCAGTCGATACGGAAAATGTCAAGAACTTTGAATGTATCCTCAAGTGCAGTTGCAAAAACCATTGAATGCTATTATGAGACTGGCTCTCATGAGGACCCCCCCGGGAAAGGAAGAGCAAGAGTTACCTCTGCTCAGAGGATAAATACATCAGAGTTACCAGCCTCAGAAACCGCAAATTAAAGCACCTTAGATTAGAGCCCACATAAATGATCACAGAGCTCAAGGAGCAGACAATCTTAAAAGGTCCCATGACATGGCCATTTCTACTGATCATAATTCCATTGTTGAGGTCTACTAGAATAGATTTACATTGTTCAATGTTCCAAAATCCCATTGGTTTTCTCATACAACATCTCTGTATAGTATGTGTATTCACTCTCTGTCCTACACGCCTTGTTGGAGCTCCTGCCCCCCCCCCTCCCTATGTGCCCACTGTGCTCTGATTGGTCAGCTCGCCCACTCTGTTTTGATGAGTCCACCACCGTTACAGCGGAACATCAGTGATTATGTTTTACAATGGCGTTTGTTAGCAACCAAAAGAATGACACCAGTAATGACAAACAGATGAGAATGCTGCGTGGGGTCTGGATGCCGTGTTGGCGGGATGTTGCGGGGCTCGCTGCTCCGCCCTTTGAGGCTCGAGGAGCAGACAGTGTGAGCTGGATTACTGGTGTTGTTTCCTGGATGCTGCGTGGGGTCTGCGAGAAAGCAAGACACCACGGAGCTCAGCCTGAGCACACACAATCACAGCCTGGGCTCCGAGTGCGTTTGTGTACGGAGCTCCGCGCAGCACCGTGGCTGAGAAAAGATAAGGTTGAGTCAGTGTGTGTGTGCGGAGCTCCGCGGATTGGTCCATTTGGACTTCGTTACGTCAGTACGCCCCGGAAGGAAAAAATGGAAAAATAAGGGTTAGGGTTAGAAAAATCCCATAGGGTATTTATTTGATTTCTGGTTAGGGGAGGGAAACTCTGGGTCCTATGGTCCGTGGTGTGGCTGGCTCGGGTTCCCTCCTTCTGTTAGTTTCTTTTGGCCAGTCCTCCAGACCTCTTTTCGTTTGCTGGATTGCTTGTGTGAGTAAACGGGTGTCGTTATCAAGTACTGGTTTTTGCGTACATAATTTTATGTTGCGGGTCTTCCCATGAGCCACTACCACGGAGTAGAGGGCGGGTCGTAACAATAGACACGTCTTTTCTGTGTTAGAGTTTTACTCGCTACAGGGTGTACTTTGAGGGTTTGTGACTCAGCAGACCGTTTGCAGTAAAAGCTACATAACACACAAGGGGACGGGTAATAACAGGAAAAGCACGACATGGTACCTTTAACATGCACTGTTCAGAGGACACAGCGTGAATTAGGCCTTCATGGTCCAATTGCTGCAAAGATACACTACTGAGGATGAACAACAAGAAGAAGAGAATTGTTTGGGCCAAGAAACACAAGGATTGGACATTAGACCAGTGGAAATCTGTACTTTGGTCTGATCGGTCCAAATTAGAGATTTTTGGTTCCAACCTCCGTGTCTTTGTGAGACGCAGAGAAGGTCAGCGGATGGTTTCTGCATGAGTGGATCCCACCGTGAAGCATGGAGGAGGAGGTGAGATGGTGGTGGGGGGCTTTGCTGGTGTCACTGTTGGTGATTTATTCAGAATTCAAGGCACCCTTAACCAGCATGGCTACCACAGCATTCTGCAGTAGCCAGCAAAATATAAATCATATTCTGGATTTTTTAACACTTTTTTGTTTACTAGATAATTCTAATTAATGTGTTCTTTTATCGTTTTGATGTCTTCAGTATAAATCTAACCAAAACCAATTTAAATAAATAAAAATCTTTGAATAAGAAGATGTGTCCAAACGTTTGACTGCGTCTAATACTAGTGTATATCTCTCTCAAAATATATATTCTGTGTATATATATATATATTAGGGCTGTCAAGTTAACGCGTTAATAACGCAAAAAATAATTAACGCCACTAACTTTTTAACGCGATTAACGCATGTGTATTTTTTTTCCTCGGCCGCCCCGTAGTTTCAGAGCGCATCAAGTTTAAAATACCATCTACAAGCTGATGCTGACAGCCCAGCTCCTGCTGCCCGCTTGTGGCAGACCACACTTCCACGCTCACCGGCAGGCACCGACTGGCTATTGGGAGGACCGGGAGGGTGTGTGTATGTGTGGCCCGAGCGAGCGAGAGAGAGACCTTACGTGCATTGTTGTTGTTAGCATCTGGTGTTAGCTAGCTGCGCTAACGGATATGGAGCTGCTTAAATGAAAACAGAGGAGCGACATTTCGCCACAACTGTGCCGAGCACTTGACTTTATGCAGGAAGCCAGACAGTGGGACATTGTACGAAAAGTCAGCACACTCAGCACGGATAGTGTGCGCAACATGATCGCAGCGTCCAGGCAGCTCCCGTTCGAGCATATGCCTTGAGTTGCACATAGCTCCAACGATCCCACCCACCCACCCACCCACCCACCCACCCCCACACCACACACCACACACACCACACACACACACACACAGCACACACACACACACACACACACACACACACACAACACACACACACACACACACAACACACACACACACACACACACACACACACACACACACCACACACACACACACACACACACACACACACACACACACACACACACACACACACACACACACACACACACACACACACACACACACACACACACACACACACACACACACACACACACACACACACACACACACACACACACACACACACACACACACACACACACACACACACACACACACACACACACACATATATAGAATTGTCCAAAATGACTTGGTAAGATGAAGCATTAAGAATCCGCTTCACTGGAGGGGTCCAGTCAGCAGAGCTTTGGCCACTTTTACGCACTATGCGCCTTAGCAGCATCCTATTACAGTACCATGTTAGAATTCAGTGAGCTCTTTAGAACGACCCATTTTTCACAAATGTTTGTAAAGGCAAAGTCACATGTTTCCTGCCTGGCCGCAGCGTGTATCATTACCCTCTCTCGTCTGGGCGCTAAGAAAGGAGCCCTCAGCCAGTGCAGCTGACTGTTGCTATCTGTAAACTATGCCGCTGAAACATAATTTCAGCCAATCAGCGTCGTCAGATCTGATGGTCATAGGGCGCCAATTTCAGCGCCCAATGCAGTCTGTGAGTTGTTTGGACTCGTATCCAAGGTGATGCTACAGTAGTTGATGAGGATGGCTGCGTCTGCAGGTGGAGACTCCGGGTGCTAGTGGATCGCCGGAGCTGTAGATTAACATTTACATGCTTATTGTAGTTGTAAGTGCAATGCTTGTAGCACCATGGAGCATATGTGTGGGCTGGACCTGTATTTTACAGGAAAGGAGTGAGCAGAGGGTCGAGTTGTCGATTCTTGTTCTGTTTTGTGTGACTATCTTCCTCACCCTCTCAGACTTTGAGGGTTGGCAAGACACACACACACACACACACACACACACACACACACACACACACACACACACACACACACACACACACACACACACACACACACACACACACACACACACACACACACACACACACACACACGTTGAATTGAGGCGAATATTTGTAATGTTCAGAGGTTGTTGTGTTTAATATTCATGAGAATATTTGTCATTGTTCAAATGATAATAAACATTAGCATAAAGCATATTTGTCCACTCATATGTTGATAAGAGTATTAAAAACTTGAAAAATATTCCTCTAAGGTACATTTAGAACAGATAAAAAATGTGCGATTAATCGCGATTAACTATTTAAATCGACTGACAGCCCTAATATATATATATACACAGAATATATTATAAATACATGTTGGCAATAATTGATTGATGAGATTTTACATTAATTTATATTAATGTTTTAATTACTTAATGACCTTTGTACTAGTTCCCCTATTCTTTATTAAGTAACATCTTAGATGTGTTTAATTTATTATTGAACATATTTATTCATTGATTTCTTTATGAATTATTCTCCCGCAATTTGAATTAATCCAAAGTGTTTGTTTTTATTTGCTTTTACACATTTAAAAAGAAAAGGTGAATAAAGAAGCACATTAAAACTAAAGTATCAATGTATGTTACATTTAACCAACTAGTGCCTACATGCATGGGTAATATTTAAATCAGTAAATTCAATGGCATATTATTCAATGTATGTATTTCTATAAATATATTTATTTTGGTAGGTTTGCTCTTCCCCAATACATTTTAATTATTATAATAAAGTACATGTGTCTAATAATACTTACATACTTTTACTTAAATAAGATATGAATGCATGCAGTACTTAATGGAGTATTTTCCCAGTGTGGTGTTTTACTTCAGGATCGTATAAGTGCAGCAAGTGCAGATAAAGGGTCTAAAGCAGGGCTGCCAACATTTGAGTTCAGCTTGGAGTGAGATTTATTGTTTGGTGAACCGAAAAAAAAAACGTTCAAGTGTACAGTGTTACAAATGTATTGAACATGTACAAACTAGGGTTTCCAATTAATGTACCGGGCGCCACAGTGGTATACGCACATACAGTGTACCCGCGACTCTTACAATGAAGGCTCGATAATCAGCTCACAGCATATAAAATGCCATATAGGTGTAAGCAGAGGTAAAGTGCTATTTTATAAGTGGGGGGGGGGGGTCCTCACCTCCAGGGGGTCCGGGGGCGTGTTCCCCCGGGAAGATTTTTTTTTTTAAATATTGAAGTTAAATGCATCAACCTGGTGCATTTTGAGAGCAAAATGAATTTAAGGATACATCTCTCAACACCCATATGAAACAGAACTGTAAACAGATTTTCTTTTTCTTTATGGATATTTTACAAATCACTCACCTTTTAAACTGTATTCTTGTTTTACTGTCATATAGTATTTCATAACTGTTTTTCATTTATTCTCATAAATGGTGACCAAAACGTTTGAGACCCACTGAGATAACTAGACAAAAGTTAACTATCTAAACACAGAGTCCCTTACCTCACTGAGCTGTAGTTATCTCTCTCAGTCTGACAGGAGAGAGCTCTCCCTCTCATTGTTTGAGAAACAGCTTCTAATATCCGTTAGCGCAGCTAGCTAACCAGATGCTAACAACAACAATGCAAATAGTGAGTTTGGTAGAAATATACTGTATAATAGTAAAGTTATTTAAGATGATGCCATAGTTATTGAAGATTTACATTATAAATATTCCCCAAAATTATTCAAAAGCATATTCTTCCAACCTCCTTGCTGTAGTATGACCACCAGGAGACTATTGATGTGTGTGGTGAGTTTGGTGGTAATAAGCTGTATAATAGTGTTTGAATATTATTGTATTCTTTTTTCGGAGTTGCACTTTGCAGACGGTCCCTGAGCACTCGTTTCTTCTCCGGCTGCAGATAGAGACCAATATAATTGGCTTTTTTTGATCGAAATGTGATTGTAATTCGTTGTCAACCTTACCACGGTACTTAGGAGACGTCATTTGTCTCTGAATAACGTTTTGTTCATGAGTTATTGATCCGTTAAATCCGAATCTCCCAATATCGTTCCAACTTTACTGAACTAAGCCAGAAGACCGTCTCATTTCGTAGACCGCTCGGTTTGCTGTTCCTTCACTTTATTTTTATATTTATATACATTTATTTTGGACGAAAACTTAGCGTGAGGAAAGGCAAGTGTTGCGTGAGTGCGTGAGATATGGGTTAATTGCGTGACTCTCACGCTCAATGCGTGAGTGTTGGCAGCCTGTGCTGCGTACCTGGACTCACATTCAGGTTCAGGTCCGGACTCAAGTCCAGAGGTTCAGGTTCAGGTTCAGGTCCGGACTTATAAGTCCGGACATGAACCCATGGCTTGTGTCAAGTTGTGTGAGTAACTAAAGTGAACTTATTGTGAGCTAATTATCAATTGAAAATTAACTCAAAAAAATCAACTCAAATTCAAACTCATCAGGTTGATTGTGCTCCCTTCCAACTTGTGTCTACATTTCTCTACAAAGTATACAAATGTAAAAAAAACACTTTTTGCCACTTAGTCTACAAATGACTTATGACAGCAACTACAGTGAACTACTACAAAGTTCAAACATTTATTTCATTTACCAAACTAAAGTAACCAAACAGTCCCTGAGCTGACTGAGCCTAAATCCCTAAAACGTTGCTGAAAGGTAGAGTGTAGAGTAGACTATACGCATTACACTGTTACACACCTACTATACAGTATAGACCAGGGCCGGACTGGGACAATAAGTCAGGCCGGGAATTATACACCCAACCAGGCCACTACCAGTTTTATTTTGTGCAATTTTCCAGGATTTATTTGTCAATATTTACAGCGTTGCTGCCCATAGTGATAGCCCTAAACTTTAAAACTACCCCAGAATAAACATATGGACATGGGTTACTATTTTTTTTTAAAAGTGCAAATCTATTTAGGAATCTATCCATGTGAACATATTTTAAGTGGAGGTGGACCTCAAATCCTCTAGGGGGGTCGGGGGCATGCTCCCCGCGGAAGATTTTTTTTTTTTAATGTTGGACTTAAATGCATCAATCTGGTGCACTTTGAGGGGGAAATAAAGAGACTACACCCATATGAAACAGAACTGTATACATTTAAATAATCATAAAATCATAAGAACATGGCCATAACCAATAACATACCATATCCAATATGAAAAATCATTGAAACTTGTTTATTTATTTGTTTTTGGTTCATTTATAGTTAACATGGCATAGTGTGTCTGGGCTCCTGAACCAGCCTGACCTGTCTCCCCCCTGCTCCTCTTTGAGGCAGCAGCAAAGACTAGTTTTAGCTCTCAACAAGTTTTTAAAGTTTATCCTACCTTTTTTCACCTAGTTAACTTTTTTTTTTGTATTATTCATGCATATTTTACTAATCACTCCCTCTTCAAATGGAAATATGTGTTTACATAAATGGTGACCAAACCGTTTGAGACCCACAGTGAACTTAGACTAAGTTAACTATCTAAGCACTCAGAGAGTCCTTTACCTCACCTGAGCTGAGGTTATCAGTCTCTCAGTCTGACAGGAGAGGACTCTCCTCCACCTTGTTGACAGCTCATTCCGTTAGCGCCGCTAGCTAGCACCGGATGCTAACAACAACAATACACGTAACCAGTGCACGCGCTTTCTCTCTCGCTTGCTCGCGCCACACATACACACCCTCCCGAGCTTGAATGACACGAGACCAATCGAGGGCATTAGTGTATGATCTGTATGAAAGTGGCCATGTCGGCAGGCCACATCATGTAGACAGCCAGTCACCCTCTGTGAGGCAGAGTCAGACCCACATTTGCGCAGCGTTGCGTTCACAATACATTAAAAAAATTCCTCAAGCCAGCAGGCCACTTAACAGGCCAGGCCATCGGGAAACCTCCCGGTCCTCCCGATGGCCAGTCCGGGCCTGGTATAGACTACATTGTAGTGACTGTACAGTCAGAGTGTACTGTACTGTCTGTACACCATATATTTTCTACAACTCTACATGTGTACATTATACAGTACATACTACATACATAGTGATGTACATACATACTGTTAGAAATTAAAATCAATGTTGATATGGCGTAATTTTGAATTAAATACACTATTTAATTTAAATCAGTTTTATTCTGAAAAAACCGGAAGTTCACACTATTAACTTAATACTTTTATTCAGAAAATTCTTCTTCACTTCCGGTTAGCATTAGCATGTGGCGAAATGCTACGTTTTCAAACCGTGAATCGAAGGTGAAATGACATGTGATGTTGTACACTGAGCACACTGGGATTAGCACTCATTTATTGACGCTGAATAACGTTTATCAGGGAATGTTTAAATAACCACAGACACCAGAATATACGTAAGTGCTAGTTTTTTTGCGAGTCCAAGTACCGGTTCCCGACGTTCCGGTTTTAACCGGACTTGAACCGAAACTTTGTACATGTCCAGTACCGGTTCGGCGTACCGGTACGCAGCACTATTGGCAGCCCTGTCTAAAGTGTTATTAATGGGACAATAAAGTGCTACTGAAGAGTGTAAGGTGTTAATTAAGGGTAAAGGGAACAGACCTGCTCTGTGTATCCGAAGCTGTAAAACATCGTCCAGTAGTTTCTGGAGTCTCTTGTTCTCCTCTTTGGAAAGAGACAGCTCCTCCTCGTACTCTGCTATCGTTTTTTCAAACAGAGCAAATAACTCTTCAACAGTGAGTCCCTGCTTCTTCCACGACAGCAGCATTTGGACTTTACTCATGTTTCCTAGATCACCTTTTCCTGTAAACTCCGTTAAACACCGTTTCTCTCTCCATCAAACTCTCAATCTGACTAGTGTTGCTAACGTGTTTCCAGCTAGCATGCTAAGCTAGCTCCTATAGTCCGAGGTAAACGCTCCAGAAAAAAGAGCATAGAGTCCATTCAGAGGTTTATCCAAACACACAGATGATGGATCAGTAGTGCTGGAGCTCACACACACTTTCTCAGGAAAACAGAGAGAGAGAGAGAGAACCGTAGCGACGAGACGCCACCTCGATCCAGGTTCTTCTTCTTCTTCTTCTTCTCTCGGTTTTTGGCGGATTGCAAACAACTTTAAGGTGCATACCGCCACCTACTGTACACGAGTGTGTATCACCATATCATCCTATCACCACTTGTGGAATTATACCACTGTATTTACGTTGTTTTAAATTCTTCCAATCAATCCTGTTTCACTCAAATACTTAAGAATGGCCTTCCTGGTAGCTCTTACCCCCTCACATTCTGTTCCCAGTATCCCCATCAGCCTCCACTCCCTTCATGCCTCTCTGACCCTGTCTCTTAGTTTTTCCCTCTCTGTTTTGTATATGTTGCAGTGTAATAGTATGTGTTCCACATTTTCTTTCACTCCACACCCCCTGCATTCTTCAACTTCGCTTTTTCCCTTTAAAAACATTGTGCCGTTTAATCCTGTATGATCCAGCCTGAGTCTAGTGATGATGATCTCCTCTCGTCTGTTCCTTTCTGTATAGATATTTATTATGACTGATTTTTGTAACTTGTGGTATCTCCTCCCTTTCTGATCTTCCTCCCACCTTTTCTGTCATATTTCCATACCCTTCTTCTTAATTATTGCTTTTCCTTCTCCTTTTCTAAATGAAACTGGTATTGCTATTTCCTTTTGTAACACCTTTTTTGCTTATTTATCAGCATGCTCATTCCCTTTAACCCCCTCGTGTGCAGGCACCCAACATAACTGCACATCTATTCCCCTCCTCTGAAGTCAGTAAGCAATGGTTAAGTTCAATGATTAAATCTTCTCTAACTGTTATTGTCGACTGTATACTTTCCAAAGCAGATAGTGAGTCTGTGCATATCACCACCCTATCAGGTCTGACTTCTTCAAATCATTGTGGCCCAATAATTGCTGCGAGTATTTCTGCTGCATAAACTGTTATTTGACACTCGTTTTGCGTTTGATATTTTGAATTCTGGGATATACATGCCTATCCCCACACATTCTTGCTTCTTAGATCCATCTGTGTAAATGTGTAGGTAATTGTAATACTTTTCGTTCAGATACATACTCGTTTTAATTCCCATTTCATTTATTTGCCACTCTTTTTTCCTTTCTATGATACTCACATCTATATTAGCTTCTGGGAAAAGCCATGGGGGAACACTGCTAAATGGGCTTGCTTTGACAAACTTTATGGTCTCCACTCCATATGCCCTCGTTCTCTCCTTACTTGTCCTGCCAAACCCACGCCCCTGGAACTTTGTATATTCCCAGCAATCCTGTAGTATTCTGTTTGTGATATGTTCCTCTCCACTTCCTTGTAGCCTGACCCAGAATGACAGAGCAAGTTTCTCTCTTCTGATCTCCAGAGGTGTCTCTCCTGCTACTATCAGAACTGCATTAATAGGGGATTACTTTATCACTACAATACACAGTCGCAATGCTTTATATTATAGTCTATCAAAAAGCAATGTTTTTGCTGCTGCTCCATACACTATACAACCATAGTCTATTGTGGACCTCATAATTGATCTGTAAATGTCTATTAATGCTTGTTTGTCTGCTCCCCAGTTGCATGCAGCTACAGCTCGCAATAAATGTAATACTTTTTTGCATTTTGTTTTCCACTTGTTTAATATGCATTTTCCATGTATATTTGCTATCAAACCACAGTAGATATTTGAACTCATTCACCTTTGTCATTGGACGATCATATAGTGTTAGCTGTTGGCCATCAATCTTGCGTTTATTTGTAAAAATCATGTAGCATGACTTGCTTTCTGACATTTTGAATCCCCAGTTATATGACCACCCCTCCACTTTTTTAATCGCTCTACCTATATTCTCCATTACATATGGGGCATGTCTTCCCCTCATCCAAATAGCCCCATCATCTGCGTGTAGAGCCGATTGGATGCATGTGTCTAAGCATGTAAATATGTCATTAATCATGATGTTAAACAATATTGGACTGACTGCACTCCCTTGGGGAATACCATTTTCTATTTCAAAAATAATTGGAAATATCTGCTCCAACCTTTACTCTAAATGTCCCGTCTGTTAAAAAGGTCCTTACCCAATTGTACATTCTCCCTCCAATACCCATTCTACTCAATTTGATCAAGGCAAGGCAAGGCAAGGCAAGGCAAGGCAAGGCAAGTTTATTTATATAGCACTTTTCAACACAAGGCAATTCAAAGTGCCTTACAAAAAATGAAAGAGATTAAGAAAATGGCATTTAAAATCAGTCATTAAAAAGAAAAGCTAATAAAATAAACATTAAAAGAAAAAATACATGGATAAAAGTTACAGTGCAATTAAACATTAAAAGAAAAAAGTACATGGATAAAAGTTACAGTGCAGTCTAAGATATGAATAGTTCAATTAAAAGCAGCGACAAAAAGAAAAGTCTTCAGCCTGGATTTAAAAGTAGTAAGAGTTGCAGCGGACCTGCAGGTTTCTGGGAGTTTGTTCCAGATATTTGGAGCATAATAACTGAACGCTGCTTCTCCATGTTTAGTTCTGACTCTGGGGACAGAAAGCTGACCAGTCCCTGAAGACCTGAGAGATCTGGATGGTTCATAATTTAGCAGGAGGTCAGAAATGTATTTTGGGCCTAAACCATTCAGTGCTTTATAAACCAGCAGCAGTATTTTTAAATCTATTCTTTGACACACAGGAAGCCAGTGTAAAGACTTCAGAACAGGAGTGATGTGATCCACTTTCTTAGTGTTAGTGAGGACTCGAGCAGCGGCGTTCTGAATTAGCTGCAGCTTTCTAATAGATTTTTTAGTGAGACCTGTGAAGACACCATTGCAGTAGTCGAGTCTACTGAAGATAAAAGCATGGACAAGTTTTTCCAAATCCTGCTGTGACATTAGTCTTTTAATCCTAGATATATTCTTTAGGTGATAGTAGGCTGATTTAGTAACAGTTTTAATGTGACTGTTGAAACTCAGGTCAGAGTCCATGACTACACCTAGATTTCTGGCTTTATCTGTTGTTTTGAACATTGCAGACTGAAGCTCAGCGCTAACTTTTATACGTTCTGCCTTGGCTCCAAAAACCATTACCTCAGTTTTATCTTTGTTTAATTGGAGAAAGTTCTGACACATCCAGTCATTGATTTGTTCAATGCACTTACTCAGTGTTTGAATTGGAGCATAGTCTCCTGGTGAAATTGTTACGTAAATGTGTGTGTCATCCGCATAGCTATGGTAACTTATTTTGTTGTTCTTCATTATCTGAGCCAGTGGTAGCATGTAGATGTTAAAGAGAAGAGGCCCCAAGATGGAGCCTTGAGGAACCCCACATGTCATATTTGTCAACTCAGATGTGTATTTACCTAGAAACAAAGTTGTTTCTGTCCTTTAAGTAGGATTCAAACCAATTCAGAACTGTTTCCGAAAGTCCCACCCAGTTCTCCAGTCGATCTAGTAATATGTTGTGGTCAACAGTGTCAAACGCAGCACTGAGATCTAATAATACTAACACTGAAGTTCTGCCACTGTCTGTGTTTAAGTGGATGTCATTAAAGACCTTTACAAGAGCAGTCTCAGTGCTGTGGTTTGGACGAAAGCCTGACTGGAACACATCAAAACAGTTATTTAAATGCAAGAAATTACTCAACTGTTGAAAAACAACTTTTTCAATGATTTTACCTAGAAATGGGAGGTTTGATATGGGCCTGTAATTGTTCATTACTGAAGCATCTAGATTATTCTTTTTTAAGAGCGATTTAATGACTGCAGTTTTCAGGGCCTGTGGAAAAATACCTGAGTGAAGAGATTTGTTTACTATATGAAGTAGATCTGAGGCCATGCAAGGCAAAACATCTTTGAAAAATCCTGTTGGAATAATATCAAGGCAGCAGGAGGAGGTTTTCAGAAGTTGAATAATGTCCTCTAGGTTTTTATCATTAATCTGATGGAATTGTGTCATGATGTCTGAATTGATGTTAAGTGGAGATAGGGACAACACATTTGCTGTTCCTGATGCAGAGGCACTGACTGCTTGTCTGATTTTCTGAATTTTGTCAGTGAAAAAGGCAAAATCATTGCACGCCCTGGTGGATAGAAATTCAGAGGCTACTGACACTGGGGGGTTAGTTAGTCTGTCGACGGTAGCAGACAAGGCACGTGCGTTGTTTTCGTTTTTGGTAATGATGTCAGAGAAGAACGATTGTCGTGCGTTTTTCAATTCCAAATTATAAAGGCCAAGTCTCTCTTTATAGATTTCAAAGTGAACCTGGAGATTTGTTTTTCGCCACCTGCGTTCAGCTTTTCGACATTCTCTTTTTTCTGTTTTCACGGTCATGGCCTTTCTCCATGGAGATATTTTCTTGCCAGACACTTCCTTTACCTTAGTTGGAGCAATGGCATCTATAACATTTTTAATTTTTGAATTAAAATGATCTACTAGCTCATTTACTGAGATGTTGGCAGGGGCAAGTGTGGAAGAGAAATTCTGAGTAAACATTTCCCTAGTATTTTCAGTTAAATATCGCTTTGTGGTTACCTCTTTTTGAACATTTTTGTGAACAGAAATAGAGCTCTCAAAGAAAACACAGGAATGGTCAGAGAGTGCAACATCAGTCACCACAACCTTAGAGATATTCAGACCCTTTGAGATAATTACGTCCAGAGTGTGCCCCTTATTGTGCGTGGGCTCCGTCACATGCTGAGTCAGTCCATAGCTATCAAGAACACAAAACAGTTCTTTAGCCCCTCTGTCCTGGGGGTTGTCAACATGGATGTTAAAATCACCAACAATGACTAGACGGTCAAAGTCAATACACACTATAGACAGCAGTTCAGTAAAGTCATCAAAAAAGCTTGCACAGTATTTGGGTGGTCTATAGATATTTAGGAACAGAGCTCGAGAGGAGCATTTCAGCCGAAGGGCCACATATTCAAAAGAATCAAAGTTTCCATACGATGTCTTCCTGCATTGAAGGGAATCATTGAACAGAATAGCAACTCCACCCCCTTTCTTATGCATTCTTTCCTGACTCATAAAACTAAAGTTGGGAGGGGTTGATTCGATAAGAACAGCTGCACTGTTATTTTGTTCAATCCAAGTTTCTGTTAAAAACATAAAATCGAGATTGTGCTCAGTAATTAAATCATTGATTAAAAATGTTTTTCCTGCCAAAGACCTGACATTTAATAAAGCTAGTTTAAGTTTGTTAAACACACTATCAGTCATGTTTTTTGTAACAAGCTGTGGCTGACATGGAATCACTGCTAATTAGATACACTCACACAAACGTTTGAGCGCTTCCTGTTTCTATGATTCACCGCTCTAATCTATTACCTATCAACACAGATATCGGCAAAAGCTACTGGCAGGCAGGGCCCCGACATGTCCTGGAAAGAGTTGAGAGTGCCATACGCCCTTGAGCCTGGACCCATCACATATCAGTAAGAGTTTGTTGTGTTTTGTACACACACATCCTTATCAGGCTTCGGAGACTGCAGAAGCCCCCTCGAAGGGAGGGGAGGTGGTCGACGTAGGCACGGTGATGGAGACGGGCTAGATGGTGCGGGGGATCAGTAATCCATCCCTCCACATATAGAGTCATACGCCTTTTCAATGTCAAAATACACTATTGCCCTTATCTCTTTTATTTTCAGTGTTTTTTCCACATCATTAATCACTCTTATTAATGCATCTGCAGGCCCTGGCTGCTGATAGGCCGGCTGAGGGTGAGGGGATCCAATCAGCCGTCAGCCTGAGCTGCACAGGCAGGAAGTGATCAACTGATTACCTGCAGTGAGAAAAAGGGAGAGAAGAGAAAAGAGCAGGAGGAGGGAAACACAACACAACCAGCAAAGCCCGCCTGGCAGTACCAGAGTTCATCAGCTGTTAAAGGTGGAGCAACTTCTACTGGGTATCTCAACCTATAATTATACATCATTGTTTATTCATATTTTCTTTTAGATAATAATTTGAATTTGTAACTAGTACCTAATTTTGTCAAATAATTGTAGTGAAGTAAAAAGTACAATACTGGTTTCTAAATTGTAGTGGAGTTGAAGTATAAGCATATCATGGAAATACTCAAGTAAAGTACAAGTACCACAATATTGCACTATACACAATCAACAGACAGATTTACACATATGCACACATTTAGATAAAAAAACACAACAATCAATATATACAAAATAACAGTCACTTCAATATCAATATCTTTGGGAATTAGTGCAAGATGTCCATAGAATGTGCATTTATTGCAAGATTGTCCATAGCAGCGTAAAGAAAGTGTCTGGTGACAAATAAAGAGGGTTACATTCCTCCATTTCTTCTAACATGTGTTGTGTTTGGGGTCAATAAGGAAACATTGCCCTTCCAGTGTCAGCAGTCCAAAGGCTTGCTGTTGCCTCTCCTTTTGATTCCTACACTCTGGCAAAAATGAGCAACAAAGCGTCGGCTTGCAAGTGGGTCCAACTCCTTCAAACTTTGCCACTATGCGCCAAATCCATCATCTCAAGTATATCCTTCTCATTGATGGTATTATGAAGAGCTCCAATGCTGACTTCATGTCTGACAGCGTATCTGTGAGGCCTGGAACATTAGATGCACCAAAGCTACTCTGTTGTTCAAGAGAGAGCGGAACCATGATAACTTTACATGTTTGGAAAGTGTCTGCTTGTGTTTGAGAGACAACAGGAGCATCTGCTCTGGGGTCTCATTGTCATCAGAGGAGGAAGCCTCATAATCAGAGTCCTCCTCAACATTATCCTCTATCTCAGACACTGTCTCTTCTTCGTCACTTTCCGCGTCAAAGAGCTGTGACAAAACAAAACTCTGCTGAGAGAAAAACCTTTTTGTGAAAGGTAATTTTCGATTGAGAGAGAGACATAAGAGAAACCACAGAGCACCAAGAGAAATGCAAGCTTTAGTATGTTTGCCCCTCCCGTACGTTGTGTAAACTAAATGTCCTCACAGGAACCAAATGTCCCAAGTTGCTGGAAATATCAGAATTCTCGTAATTTCCCACGTCCACCACGACCTCTGCTGTTTGAAATGTGGGACTGCATTTGACAATTTCTCAAGCTTTCTGCGTTCATGATAACTTCACTTTGACTGTGGTCTTTTTAGCTCTTTAATGAATAAGAAAACCCCCTGCAATTGTATGTTTTCCAGACCTGAGGTGGTAAACATATCTTGAAAGTGAATTTACAATGCAGTAAAAACTGAAAACCATGCATTTTCCTCATGAATGATTTCAGTCAGCTTCCCACAAACAGAAACGGGATAATGTAATAATTCAGAATGGCTGCTGATGCTGCTAAAGCAATACATAATTAAATGATACAATCAACCTTATCTGTAAGAATACATAATCGCTTTGTAAAAACATGCACACGCATACACACTGTCTTTCTGCTGGCACAAAATCAAACTCATACCTGAGTTCTGTTGTGTTGTCTCATCGATATACATCTCGCTTTATACTTTTACATTAGACTCAAAACAAACCCACAGAAGAACAGAAGCTCAATGTTCCCTGTGTGACTTTAACGTTTACAACGTGAAGCAGGAGTTCCTTCCTGTTCCGGTCAGACCGATCTGACATCAAACTGCTGCTAGTGGAGAAATGGCTCACCAGCCTCCAGGTTCCATTATTTATTTTCTGCTACATTTTAGCAAGAGATGCCTTTTTCATCTTGTACAAGTATAGCTTTTTCAGCTCTGGTTTCATTGTCATCCCGGTTTTACGGTCTAAAAAGTGTTGCAGCAGTTTTCATCACTCTCTGAAGAACAAGAAGACATTTTTTTTTACCTTTTATTACTTTAAACTTGATGATTAAGTTTAAAATGTACAAACTACGATGGCCGGCAGGTGCAATCGCGCTACATTGAGTTAAACGCTTACATCAGGAGTAACGTGCTGCAGCTTCAAAAACTATGACACATATTAACAGCAATGTGCCAACACACATGTGAATGAAGAGAAATCTACACCAACCTGACGAGACATGAGCAGGGTTTACTAAAAGAGCTGCATCAGCTAAAAGGCTTTCACATGTTTTTCTGAAAATAAATGAGAAAATCTGAATTTATTGAATTTTTCTTAATCCTACAGATAAATAAAAATATTTATAAAAAAATTCAAATATCTTGTTTCAGAAAAATAATTTAGAGGTATTTTATAATTAAAAAAAGAAAAGACTGAGATTTTCACTTGTGTCCTCTTAGCTCTTTTATTAACAAGAAAAAAACAAACATTTTATTTTTTACATCCGGATCACATTTTCCAAGTAAAAGTCTGGTTCAGGAAGTGTCACAGCAGCATCCAATCAGAGCCCAGTCCTCAGGGCCCCTCCCCCACGTTGGTCAGCTGACCTACGGCCCCCCCACGTCCACATGGATCCGGGTGTAGAGATCCAGCTTCTCCTTCTTCACCAGCGAATAGGAGAGGGACGAGATCCCGTCTGAGGACATGGTCTCTAGCGTGTGAGCGATCTGGTTAAACCTGGGGGGGACACAGATTCTTTATTAAGGGGGACCGTCTCAAAGAGATAACACAGGTAGCAACCGTAGGCTAAGAAACAGAGCTAACAGCTAACAGAGGTTCCACATCACAGTGGGTTCAGGCTCCTTCCAGTAAAAGAGCCTATTGGTTGAAGGTAAAGTAGAACGTTACCATGATGTGTTCAATGTAAGTAACACATTTGTTGAGAAAAAGAGGGAATTATGATGTTTAACTTCCGGACAGAAGCTGGGAGCGGACTGTAAAACACTGTTAAAACTGCTGAGGTCATAAAGACACCATCAGACGAAGAATCGGGAAATTATAATTGGTTTTGGTTACGACTATTAGATTTCTGATATGGTGAAACTATTCATCAATTAGGTTAGGAAGCCAAGCGGGCTCAGTTTATTAAAAACCCATAAAGGTAAACTTTCTGAAGCAAGGTCTGGGAGAAGCCAACCACCAATAAGAGGCTTTATAGAAGACCCCTGCATTACAACCACATCCCATGTACAAGCAATGTGGATCCTGAAGTCCCTTGGTAATGTCAACATGAGCAAGAAGGGAAGTTCAAGCCAAAGAAGTCAAGAAGTTTGATGATCAGAAAAGTGACCGGCAGGTTCCAGCTCCAAGTCCAGGGGGAGGGCATACGATCTACTGAGGAAAACCCAATATAATGCTTAGGGAGGTGATCGGATGCTTCTCTAACGGACAGAATCAATGCATCCAGGACAGAGAGACAGACGAGTGGCTGAGGAAGATACAGGGCTCAGACGAACCAGGACGATTCAAGGCATGTTTCTTCCAGCTACCTCGACTCATGTGGTACCTGACCATGGTAGGAGTCGAGTAAACCAACTAGGTAGGACTTTACATCAGGTCTGGCCAGTTACTGCTACCCGTATCCGCAGTGAGATCAGGACGTAAGTGGGCAGCAGTAACATCAGGGAGACCTGAGGAAAGCTCTCTGAAGGGACTGAAGCCCGGCATGGGAGACAAGGACTCGGACCCACCCACTTCCAGATTTGGGGGGAGAGAAGCCACGGCAAAGGGGTGACGTGATTCAAGCCGAGGTCCATCACATGGAGGAGGAAGGGCGAAGGACAAGGGCTTCTGAAGGAAAGCAAGTGGGACCTGCTGAAGTGGCCCCAATTAGTAGTGTACGACAACCCTGTCAACGCCAACAAATGTGAGGGTCAGAGTGTGTCGTATTCTGTATAAACTGTAAAGCCCCCTGAGACCAAGCCTGCAAACTGTGCAAGTTATGTGAGAGGTGAGTGAGAGGCCCTTTGGAGAACAGGGAAGATACAGATGACGAGGTCCTCAGGGCACTGGATGGGATCTTGTAGCAGGACAGACGAATAAGCGTCAGACCATTATGAGACTATACAAGACTCAGAATCAGTCTTGGCAGGTGAGGGTGGACCTGGGAAGGAAACTACACTTTCCCCGAATCGTCCAAACATCCCTGAGGCCCGACCTGCTCATATAGTCTGAGGAGGAAAAGGAGATCTTCCTTATTAAGCTGACGGTCCCATGGGAAGGAAAGCCACAAAGTACCAGGACCTGGTCCATCAGTGCAGAGACAGAGGTTGGAAGACCTGGCTATTCCCAGTCGAGGTTGTCTGCAGGGCTTCTTTCTGTTTGCAGGATGCTCACGGCTCTGGGAATAGAAAGCTGTTTGTAGGTTGGGGGAGGCCGTGGGAAGAGCCTCACTGCTGACAACAGGATTACGCTACGTTTCAGGGTCGAAGATGGCCACATCCTGTCCAAAAGTCACAAGGAAACGACTGCGGGTGTTATCTGTTAGATGGTTCTAACAAAGTGCAATCACTTTAGACATCCCTGAGATTATTAGGGAAGTAACCCTCCCACCCATGTGTTACAAACATATTAATAATCTTTATTTAAATATTGAAGGTTACCTCTGAGGGTTGGGCTCGTTATTCTTGTCTCTGTTGTGCCGGATCATCCGATACTTCCCGATCTCGCCACTCGGCCGGGAGATGCTCATTCCTTTATATGAGAACCTGCAGACAGCAGCACATTATAGCACTTATTGAGGTGTGTGTGTGTATGTGTGTGTGTGTGTGTGTGTGTGTGTGTGTGTGTGTGTGTGTGTGTGTGTGTGTGTGTGTGTGTGTGTGTGTGCGTGTGTGTGTGTGTGAGTGTGTTGACCTTTTAAAGATGTCGTCGTCCTCCCCCCCCCATCCCCAGTAGTTGTTTGGAAAGCCATTGATCTTCAGGAACTGCTCTTTGCTCATCGAGGACACGCCTCCAAAGCACTGAGCGTAGGGTAACCTGCAGACACACTGAATGTCTCAGTTTATCTCATTTTAAAATGTGTCTCAGTGTGTCTCAGTGTGTCTCAGGTGTGTCTCTGTGTGTGTTCTCACCTGAATCCGAACTTGTCCACGGCCACGGACAGGTGTCTGGGCTGGCTGAAGCACCTGTAGGTGTTTCTGTCGTCCATGGGGATCAGGTCCACGTCGCTGAACACGAAGCAGTCGTAGTCATAGTCCTTCAGAGCCTCGGCGTAGCCCACGTTCAGAAGCTTCGCTCGATTAAAGGTGCCCTCTCCGTCCTGACGGGCACAGTTACGTTTGAATGTACATGTGACTCAGAGGTTATCTGATATCAGACTACAGAACGCTTTCAGGGTAACTCAAGAAAATAAAGAGAAAAGCCTGTTTTACCAGAGCAGATAGACCAATCATGGGCCGGCTCTCAAGACACCGGGCAGATCCTGCAGTGTGAGGAGGACACCGAGAGGAGAGAAAGAAGGAGAAGACCAGAGTCACAACACACAAACAAGAGAAGAAGAAATGAAGTTAAGACCCAGTCCCAGACCCTCTGGTTAGCTCAACACAGACTCGTTTATCCCCGTCTCGGTCACGTTGTTGGTCACGTTGTTGGTCACGTTGTACGTCGCGTTGTAGGTCACGTTGTACGTCACGCTCGTACGCCATGTTGTTAGGTCACGTTGTAGTCACGTTTTAGGTCACGTTGTAGGTCACGTTGTAGGTCATTTGTAGGTCACGTTGTAGGTCACGTTGTACGCCATGTAGGTCACGTTGTAGGTCACGTTGTAGGTCACGTTGTAGGTCACGTTGTAGGTCACGTTGTAGGTCACGTTGTAGGTCACGTTGTAGGTCACGTTGTAGGTCACGCTGTACGCCATGTTGTAGGTCACGTTGTAGGTCACGTTGTAGGTCACGTTGTAGGTCACGTTGTAGGTCAGGTTGTAGGTCACGTTGTAGGTCACGTTGTAGTCACGTTGTAGGTCATGTGTAGGTCACGTTGTACGCCATGTTGTAGGTCACGTTGTAGGTCACGTTGTAGGTCACGTTGTACGCCATGTTGTAGGTCACGTTGTAGGTCACGTTGTACGCCATGTTGTAGGTCATGTTGTAGGTCATGTTTGTAGGTCACGTTGTAGGTCACGTTGTACGCCATGTTGTAGGTCACGTTGTAGGTCACGTTTAGGTCACGTTGTAGGTCACGTTGTAGGTCACGTTGTACGCCATGTTTAGGTCACTTGTAGGTCCACGTTGTACGCCATGTTGTAGGTCACGTTGTAGGTCACGTTGTAGGTCATGTTGTAGGTCACGTTTGTAGGTCACGTTGTACGCCATGTTGTAGGTCACGTTGTAGGTCACGTTGTAGGTCACGTTGTAGGTCACGTTGTAGGTCACGTTGTAGGTCACGTTGTAGGTCACGTTGTAGGTCACGTTGTAGGTCACGTTGTTGGTCACGTTGTAGGTCACGTTGTACGCCATGTTGTAGGGTCACGTTGTAGGTCACGTTGTAGGTCACGGTGTAGGTCCGTTGTAGGTTCACGTTGTAGGTCACGTTTACCCATGTTGTAGGTCACGTTGTAGGTCACGTTGTAGGTCACGTTGTAGGTCACGTTGTACGCCATGTTGTAGGTTACGTTGTAGGTCACGTTGTAGGTCACGTTGTAGGTCACGTTGTAGGTCACGTTGTAGGTCACGTTGTACGCCATGTTGTAGGTCACGTTGTAAGTCACGTTGTTGGTCACGTTGTAGGTCACGTTGTAGGTCACGTTGTAGGTCACGTTGTACGCCATGTTGTAGGAGGTCACGTTGTAAGTCACGTTGTAGGTCACGTTGTAGGTCACGTTGTAGGTCACGTTGTAAGTCACGTTGTAGGTCATGTTGTAGGTCACGTTGTTGGTCATGTTGTAGGTCACGTTGTAGGTCACGTTGTACTCCATATTTGTAGGTCACGTTGTAAGTCACGTTGTATGTCACGTTGTATGTCCCGTTGTATGTCACGTTGTATGTCACGTTGTATGTCCCGTTGTATGTCACGTTGTAAGTCACGTTGTAGGTCATGTTGTAGGTCACGTTGTACGCCATGTTGTAGGTCATGTTGTATGTCACGTTGTATGTCCCGTTGTATGTCACGTTGTATGTCACGTTGTATGTCCCGTTGTATGTCACGTTGTAACTCACGTTGTAGGTCATGTTGTAGGTCACGTTGTACGCCATGTTGTAGGTCATGTTGTATGTCACGTTGTATGTCCCGTTGTATGTCACGTTGTATGTCCCGTTGTATGTCACGTTGAAAGTCACGTTGTAAGTCACGTTGTAGGTCACGTTGTATGTCACGTTGTAAGTCACGTTGTCACGTTGTAGGTCACGTTGAAAGTCACGTTGTACGTCACGTTGTAGGTCACATTGTGGTCACGTTGTAGTCTATTTGTTTATTTTATACCTTACGTAGTACGTATCTCAGTAGTTAATCAGCAGTATCTCAGCAGTGTCTCAGCAGTATCTCAGCAGTGTCTCAGCAGTATCTGAGCAGTATATCAGCAGCAGTATTAGTACCTGGTTGACGACGTACACCCCGTAGTCCAGCTGTTGTCTCTGCAGGATGGGGTGCAGGTAGTTCAGCCAGTACTTCAGGTGTTCCTCTCGGTTGCGGAAAGGGATGATGATGGCCACCTTCTGCTGCGCCACACAGTCTCTGGGTCTGAAGCGCCCCCCCGGCTGCAGGGCGGGGTTCTGCTTCTTTATCAGCTCCTCTTTCACCGGAGAGCTGAACTCCACCCGGAGGGGACTTACTGAGACAAGAATATAAAAAGATGGTGCGTTCAGGGTGCGTCAGATCTCAGAGACCTGATGACTCTATAGCAGCAGTCACACACACACACACACACACACACACACACACACACACACACACACACACACACACACACACACACACACACACCTATATAACACACTACAACTCTGTAAAGAACATTCATCTGTTTGCTAATTATCTATATATCATATTCCATGTACTTGTATACAGACTCTTCTGGCACTATTTCTATTTCATTTGTATTTACGTGCACATCTCAAAACATTCTATTGCACTGTTTGATCTGCTTTATGTCTGGAGGCGTGTGGTGCAGTGGGTTGTGTGTAGGTTTTCGGATCAAGGGGTCACAGGTTCAAACCCCACTGCAGTCAGCATGTCGTTGTGTCTCTGAGTCGCTTTGGATAAAAGCGTCTAACAAGTGTCATGTAATGTCCTATATATATATTCATGTTGCTCTGTTGCAACTCCATCTCTCCTCTGTAGCTGCTGAGCACACGCTGATAAACAGGGACTCTTTAAAGTGTGAAGCCATGACAGCTTGAAGCTCCTCTGTGTGATTCATCAGAAACACCTGAACTGCACTCTTAACCCTACATTAGATCAATCTAACCAGTCCAAGAGCCACAATCTTAAATCCTCAAAGGTCCTTCAGGGGCTTTGTGCAGAATGTGGCCTTATTGACGTATGGCGTCAACTAAATCAAGATGTCAAAGATTACATTTTCTTTTCAAATGTCCACAACTCTTATTCTTGAATAGATTATTTTTGTATTCCCTCAAAATATATGCATAGGGTAAAATAATGTAAAATTGATTCCATTAATATTTCAAATCATGCAAGAGTTCATTTAACTATTCACTTGGAGAGTGGAGTTTGTATCCAGGCGCTGGAAATTTGATAACTCCTTACTTAGAGACGAAAAATTCAAATAAAAAATGTGAATGTGGATAAGGTACTATATAAAAGAAAACAATGACCCCTCTATAGATCTGAATATTATTTGGGAAGCTGCAAAAGCTACTTTAAGAGGACTTATTATCTCATACACATCTTTTAAAAAAACGTGAACAAATTAGGCTCAGCCAAGAACTTGAAAGAGAAGTAAACAGATGTGAAGTACTTCATAAATCTGCATCAACAGATGAAAACTGGAAACAATTAAACACAGCCAGAGCTAAATTAAATATTGACTTAACAAACTAAATCATAACACAAATGAATCTTATCAGACAAAAGAATTATGAATTCGGCAATAAACCAAGTAAACTGCTTGCCTATCAATTAAAGAAGGAGCAAGCAGAAAGGGCTATAAAAGCAATTCGTCTGAAAGACAACAAGATAACCTACCACCCAAAACAGATTAACCAGACATTTTATGAATTTTATAACAAATTATACAAATCTCAATGTGATTACTCACAAGATGAACTGGACATTTATCTCCATAACATTCATTTACCTACATTATCTGATTTAGATCAAGAGTATCTAAACTCATCAATTACAGAAGTAGAAGTTTTGGCTGCAATTAAATCTATGCCTATAAATAAAAGCCCAGGGCCAGATGGCTTCTCGGCAGAATTTTCTAAAGAGTTTTGGACTGAACTTCAACCTATATTTATGTCAATGGTTAACAACTTCTCTCACAACAGAACACTTCCTTAATCAATGAATCTTGCATATATTACTGTACTACATAAAGATGAAAAAGACCCCTTGAATTGTTCTTCATTTAGGCCTATAAGCCTCTTGGATCATGATTATAAGATTATCACCAAATTATTAGCAAAACGACTGGAAATTATTTTACCTAAACTAATTAGTCCTGAGGTTTTGTCAAGGGCAGATATTCTTCTGATAATATAAGGAGACTTTTGAATATTATAAACCATTTGGACACCTGTCAGAGGCCATCTCTGCTTCTTTCTTTAGATGCCGAGAAGGCTTTTGACAGGATTGAGTGGAATTTTCTTTTTGCTATCTTGAACAGATTACATATGGGCTCTCGGTTCATAGAGTGGGTCAAATCAATTTCTAAAAATCCTAAAGCAGCGGTTATCACTAACTGCAGTTTCTCAGATTTGTTTCCACTAACAAGGGGGACAAGACAGGGATGTTCTCTGTCACCTTTGCTTTTGGCAATTGTAATTGAACCACTGGCATCATGTGTGCGAGACAACATAAGTATTAAAGGAGTGAAGATTAACGATGAACACAACATTTCTCTGTAAGCTGACGATATCATTCTTTACTTAACAGACCCAGAAAATTCAGTACCACATCTGCACGACATGATAGAGCAATTTGGAAGATACTCAGGATATACAATTAACTTTAAGAAATCGAATGCTTGTTTCTTACATATGACGCCAACAGCAAATTTGGAAAAGTCTTGTTGTTTTAATTTGTCACCAGGTGGCTTTAAATACTTAGGAATAAATATAACACCACACCTGGATAATCTGTTTAAAGAGAATTACAATCCGCTCATTGACAAAATTAAACAGGATTTATCTAAATGGTCCACATTACCAATATCACTGCTAGGAAGAAACAATGTCATAAAACTGAATATTCTACCGAGATGTAATTTTCTTTTTCAAATGTTACCATGCTATTTATCCGCTGACTATTTTAAATCTCTCAATAGACACATCTCAAAATGTATCTGGTGTAATAAAAAACCAAGAATCAAGTTAATTACTCTTATGAAACCAGAAACTATGGGGGTCTTGGTCTTCCCAACTCTCAACACTACTTCTGGTCAGCTCAATTAAGAAATGTACTATCTTGGTCTCTGGGAAGAAAGGATTCACTATGGGTTCAGATAGAAGCCAATATCTTTGACCCGTTGCCAGTGGAAACTCTTATATTTGTTAAAGATTTCAATAAGGTGAAAAATATGGCCAAATGTTTTACAGTGGTCAATACACTTTTAGCCTGGAGGGACTGTACAAAAAAAGTTCATGTTAACTCTGGTATTTCAATCTTTTCTCCTATTTTGAACAATCCTGATCTTAGCAAATATTTGTTGTCAATTAATATAAACAAATGGACGAAAGCAGGTATAAAGCAATTGAAACATTTGTTTCACAAAGATATAACATTGAAATCATTTAATGATTTAAGAGCAGAATATGACATTTCAAATAAGGATTTTTTCAGATACCTGCAAATTAAGAACGTGATCCAATCAATTATTAAAAGCAATAAATTGAGATCGGGATTGTTGGAAGAGGAGGAGACATTGATGTCATCGACCACGATCAAAGGTAAAATTAGAGAATTTAATGCAGTTTTTTCTAAAAGAGCTCAGTCATCCTTTCTAACTTTAAAAAAGATCTGGGAAAAGGACTTAGGGATACAGATAGATGAAACTACTTGGCTGAATAATTGTGAAAGAACACATTTTCCATTCACAAGCAATAAAATCAAAGAAGCAAACTTTAAATGTATCAACACATTTGACCTCACACCCATAAAGATACATAAAATGTCCAAAGAAAACTCTCCAAAATGTCAGAGTAAAAGAAGGAACATTTATGCATCTGTTTTGGGACTGTGATCTCTTGAAACATTTCTGGGATTCGATTCATGCCGTTATAGGCATCGAAATGAGCCTAAATCCATGTTTTTTCCTGTTAAATGACATGCCAAACTTTAAACTGAACCCCAAACATTACAGAATACTAATCACAATAACATATTTTGCCAAGAAATGTATACTTTTACTCTGGAAGAACGAACGTCCCCCAACATTTAAACTTTTCATTGATCAAATAACACATTTTTTACCTCTGGAGAAAATGACATTGGACATATTTTTCAAGCTCTGTGGTTGCCATTGTTTTCTTATTTGGAAAATATATCTGAGATATGACCAGTGATGGAATGGTGCATTCTGTGGCTATTTTTCCTGACGGCCGGAAATACTAGTTGTGGTGTTGTCATTGTCTACATTGAACATTTGTTTGTTTTACTTTGATGTGGGTTTTTCTTTTTTCTTTTGTTCTGTTTTTTCCTTTTCCGTTTTATGTTTATTTTCATGGCTCTGTTGTTTAAGATATATTGATAAGCATTTATTTTTTTGGTTTCGCCCGTGTGGGCATGTGCGGGTGGAGGGAGGGGGGAGTGTAGTGTACTGTGATATTACAATATAAATGAAATGGCATCGATTACTGTACACTATGATGAAATAAAAAGACTTGTAAAAAAAAAAAAAAGAAACACCTGAGCAGGTAACCTCCCCTCCGACCTATGAGATGGCTCCGAGGGGAACCAGTTCGTCTGGATGCCGTCGAGTGGACCCACCGAGCCGGTTCTCAAACTGGTTCCTGTATCAGGGCGTCTCTCTGTCTCTGAAGCTAGATGTGTCTCTCTCAGTTTCAAACACTGCATTCCCCGCTCACTTAATAACATCCTGCTTTATATTCTGTCTAAAGCCCTTCAATAGTGTTTTATTGTCAGAGTGTATATGTTTTATCTTCACGGTCTGCTGTTTATATTTCTATTTTGAGATGTTTAAATTCTAGTTTTGTTTATTTCTACTCTTTAAATTCTACTTATGTGCAATGCCTTGTTTACTATGCTGCTGAGACGCAGACATCTCCCAAAGAGGGAAAACACATCCTAATACAGTCAGTCTCATCTTATTATGGAAACGCTCTGTGCATCTGACCGAATTACAATGTGATCATTTAAAAAGTTCAAAAGATATAAAAAAGCTGAACTGAAGTGTAAAGATGGAATGTCCTGTAGTCCGTTTCAAACCGGACGGACAGGAGGACGATTCAGCGAAGACGATAAGATGAATATTTGAATTAAGTATAAAAGTGTGTGTCTGTAACACCATGATAGGCAAATCCCTCCATGTGTTCACCTCTGATCCTCCTCCTGACACACCAATCCTCATGTATAAACATAATACCATAATACCACAGTGAATGAGTCAGGATCAGGATCAGAAACAGGTTTATCTCCAGGTATACGTACGAGGAATTTGACTTGGTGTCGTGGTGCAAACATAAAAGTAAAACTAAGATTAAAAAACACAGATAGAAAACTAGAAAAATATAAAATATGGAATAAAATTGGCAGTAATAAAACAAAAATAAAACAAAGAGAGCAGGTCTTACACAGCAAGGGGGATGTTCCAGGACATTGCTGGAGCTCCTTCCCCCCGGGACCCACTGCCTTCCCCCCGGTGTTCTGTCCTTTATCCCCGGGCTCTCCTGCCTCCTCTCTGCGGGGGGGGGTCGGCGGGTCGGTCCTGGTTCCTCTTGGTCGTGTTTTCCTGCTGGTTCTGGTCGGAGGGGTCGTCCTGCTGGTTTTGGCCCCACGGGGGGTCCAGAAAGCGGTGGCTGTAGAAGAGGATGACGGAGACCTGGAGGAAACACACCAGCCAGACCAGCTCACAGGAGCGGTGGCGGATCGCGGAGGAGAGGGAGCCGAGCACCATGCTCTCTATCCGGGGAGAGATACTCTGAGAAGCGCTGAGGTAGAGAAGTGAACCTGTCCGGTGAGAGGGAGGCTGTCACTGAGGGGGGTTGTCACTGAGGGGGGTTGTCACTGAGGGAGAGTGATACTGCTTAACCATTAGGCGCTTTCACACTGCGGTACTTTTCCCACAAAGGTTCATCTGTACTTAGTTCATGAGAACTCTTTAGTTCTCATGAACTAAGTACAGATTGCGTTCACAGTGTGTGTGTGTGTGTGTGTGTGTGTGTGTGTGAGGTATGGATGCAAATACGAGGCAACTATGTGTCACGTGCACCTGCCATGGAACTGGTATCTGTGAGATAAAGGTAAGTTATTTGTTCAGTATTGTGCTACAGTAAAGTGGGTAAGTATAGGATTGTGACGTGATCCTGAGTCTGGGGATCCTCTCCCAATACATTTTGAGCTGCAGACACTTATTTACAGTACAATATATTACTTTTCTTTTCATTGAACTTTTAGTGCCCACACAGCAAACAAGAGGAGGCCAATCTTCGCCTGTGTGCTGGAGAACAGGGCTTCTGTCTCGTCAACGATGGGGGCACTGTGAAGCTGGACAGGAGACATGCCTACTACCATCAAATACAGGCTCAGCTCCACCTCGTTGATGTTGACTACTGCGACTTTGTTGTCTGGACTAAAAATGACCTCTTTGTAGAGAGAATTGTGCGTGATGTGGACCTGTGGGACAACATAATTCCCATAGTTGAGCGTTTCTTCAGACTATGTGTTCTCCCTGAAGTGTTGGGACAGCAACTTACAAGGGGAAAGGTAAAAGTCATAAAGAGTTGGTGTGCTCATTTTTTTCCACAAGAACATGTTAGTGCATAACTATCAGGTGACTAAAAGCCTCCTCTCCCTGTCTGCTGTTCCATTTTTCAGTTTCAGTTGCAAGATGATCAGGAGGGAGAGAAGGCGTGATTACCAGCACCTGTGGTCTGTCCTGGTCCCGGAAGTTGTGGTTCTCTCCTTGTTGCATTATTATTATGTGCCGTAGTGGGTGCTGGTGTTTGGGTGTCTTTTTCTCTCTCCCTCTGATCTCCCCAGGTGCTCCCAATCTCCAATCAGCGCCTCCATATAGGACATGAGGAAGGTTGCAGTCGCTCTCCCCTTATCTTAAGCTTTGTTTGACAAGTTGGTGGTGAGCCCTTTTTCGTTGTGTTAATTAAAAGACCACTTTATGGCGTCAGAGATCAGTTTTCTCTCCTTTTTCTCTCGGCCGGTTATGTTGTGTGTCGCTACTTCCCTTTGTACCCCTATATTTACAAGGGAACGTAACATTTGCACAGTGGCAGCTCTTTAACCTGCATTACAGCACCTTCATATTCACTGACCACACTCACTAGAGGAAGTAGGGCTGTGTGATATATTGCTATTGTAAAAAAGATGTTTACTGAAAAGATTAAATGATACTAAGACTGAATAATACATGGTTTCTTATTTACATTTACAATAACCCTCAATGGCCATACATGGGAGCGTCACCAGACCAATTGTCATCTCTAGAATATTGTTGAATGAATTAAGCCTGAATGTAGATGAAAGTTGTATATTGAGTAGGGCTACACAATTTTCAACACAAAAAGATGTTTACTGAAAAGATTAAATGATACTGAATAATACATGGTTTCTTATTTACAAGACTACAGCTCCATGACTTTACTCCAATGGGACGACAGACACTGACAGATTAGACAAGGCACAGCAAATAACCCCAATCTTGTCAATTAATGCTAGTGCCTCACCTGGTTTTGTTAGCATGTGCTCTATGGGCACCGCCCTGCTTTGCAGAATCTGATATTTTCTTCTGACTAATCCTATGACTCTTTCAACATGAATACGCACATTAGCTATTTTTCTTGTCTCTTCCACCTCGTATGCTGACAGCTGACTTTTCCCCCTGGTGAATGCAGGCATCTTTAGTGAAGCACAGTAAAATCCCACACTATCGGCAATATCGAACCCACGGTCTGCTAGGACAATATCTCCAGGTAACAGGTTTTTTAGGAGCCCACTCTGTATTGTGATCTGTTTATCACTAACTCTTCCTCCCCAGGCACAAGATATGTAGGTAACATAGCCTTGGGGAGCAACACCAATCAGAAATGTAACAGTATGGTGATGCTTGTAGTTGGACCATGTTTGTGCTCTAGCTAGTAAATTAGAGGGCCTCTCAATAAAAACTTCAAAACAGTCAACAATCACAGCAACTCTACATCCAAATGCCTGTCTGAATCCCATTGGCATTGTAGCTTGAAGTACATGTCGCTCTGGCCACTCAATTATAAATTCTGTACTCTCGTGAAGTATGTCAATTAACTTATGCCAAATTCTAGAAGCAGTGGAGAGAGAGATGTTGAACCTGAAAGCCAAATCTTTCAGAGGGAGATTTAGTCTCAGCCTCAGCAAAACTAAAATGAACTGTTCAAATTTGGAGAGCACAGACATAGGGCCACAGGTGATGTAGGGCTCGCACAGTTGAAAAACCTGAAGTAAAACTAAGAAGTTGGGGAGCCCGGTGTAAAACTTTGTTTTCTCTTCGTTGTTCTCAAAGGACTCCTGGTTGAACTTTGTGTCCAGTGCCTTTGTCCGAAGATCTCCCAGCTCTGTTGTGTTCTGTCTCAGAACATCCTCCATCCTCTCGATGTCCTCCATCGTTAAATCAGTCTGGCATCCTGCATCTGCATACAATATAGCAGTAGCAAGCATAATTAGTTATTTAAAATAGTCAAATATGAATGTGAATTTTTGTGAAGTTATCTTTTTGACAACCTTTTTACAGACATGCAAGTTCTCTGTTCCAATTATTGCAGATTCTCAAATTAGTGCTCTATTTTCTAAACCTAATTCACAGTTTGCATTGATTTTCTGACAATCACATTTGTAATATTTAATAATAATGCTGGTGGTTAATTTACCTTGTTGGTCATTTAATATCCCACTGGTGTCCTCTGGTTGTGGGCTGTCAGACGGGGGCTGCGTCGGTTCTGGGCTCTCGGTTGTCTGCAGGAGATCCAACAAAGCCTCTGCACATTCTGATTGTCTTTGTTGGTCTTCCTTGAGCTCCATCCTCTGCTCTCGTCGAAGAGATGCCTCTGATCTGGGCTTACTTGTTGTGTGGTAACCGAGGCTAACAGTGGGAGCCCAGTCTACCGACTCAACGTCACCCAAAGCGCACCCTAAAAAGTCCCAACAAAGTCCATATTAGACTACAGGTAACTTAAACATGATCAGTATTACTAAGTAAATACGCATTTAACCACAACCCAATAATACCTAAACAAAGCCACAAAAACCAAGTTAGCTAATACCTCTGATGAAGTGGTCGCTGCAGACCCGTGCATTAGACGACTCTGCTCCTCCCGACCGCAGATGTAGGTTTGAAAGCCATTTTTTCCGGCGTTCTTCGGTTAGCTTCTTAAATTGCTCAGCTTTATGGACGACAACCTTCGGCACTCGGTAAAACCTCTTGTTTTTCTCTCGGCCGGATCGATTGGAACAACCGTAAACTACACAACACACCGGCATTTTCACAATGGTAACAGCAGCTAGATCCTCTGTAGAAAATTACTTCCTGACCTCCAATGGAATTTCGCGCCAAAGGAACGCAACGGTGTGACGTCACGTGAAACCAAGCTATTGGAGCTACAACGAGCCGTTAAAGGCAGAGAGTGAAATTCAGTGAATAGAATACACGTAGTTTACAGAGATGCTGTATGAGAAACCATTGTGAGTTGCGTTTATCTTTACCCATGGATGCACAATAAGAACGGATCCATATCGTCTTACTGCCATCCCACGGAGCTGTAATAATGGATATATTGCACATGTTTGCTGTAATTCATTATCATACTACATGGGTTGTATGATTAAATCTTGTACCGTAAATGTTGTATTAAATAAAGTTAATATTACCGACATTATTAACGTCCCTGTAGCTTCGTATTGCACTAAGAAGCTTATTGCACTGTAGGCCTATATAAATATATATATACAGTGCAATAATAATTTCATGCTAAATGAAGCTCTGTTGGATATCACTAGATCCTGTTACAGCGTAATATAAGTACATAACGATTGATGTGTACATTAGCATCATTACTAGCTAGCCGCTAGCTGCTAACTGCCGCCTCGTTCATATCAAATCCATGATAACAACAACCATTACCATGCTGTCATGAACGCACGGTGCTGTTACGTGTACGCAAATTGACGTGCTTGATGTGAACGAGCATTTTGGTTAAAGTTGCGCATGCTCTATGAGCGCACATACGGGTACTTCTCAGGCATGCTGGGTAATCTGTGACGTTTCACTCTCTCAAAAGTTGGGCCATTTTATCATCATGCGCTAATGAGCAGCTCTCTTAGGAATGAATGAGGCCCCGCCTCCCACGCTGTATCCAGTTCTTATTATACATCCATGAGTATACGCCGTGAAGTGGTTTGCGGCCTGCCAGTAAACCCAAAGCAGAAGAAGAACAAGTGACGTCAGCAGCTTCATTTGCCTAATCCACCCCAGGGACTTTTTCCAGACACACACACACACACACACACACACACACACACACACACACACACACACACACACACACACACACACACACACACCACACACACACACACACACACACACACACACACACACACACACACACACACACACACACACACACACACACCACACACACACACACACACACACACACACACACACACACACACACACACACACACACACACACACACACACACACACACACACACACACACACACACACACACACACACACACACACACACACACACACACACACACACACACACACACACACACACACACACACACACACACACACACACACACACACACACACACACACACACACACACACACACACACACACACACACACACACACACACACACACACTATTTTTATGCATTGAATATTTTGTGAATCATGTTTTGTAATGATAATGAATTTAGTTATAAGTTACTTGTACTGTAACTTACTGATATACGTGATATAATCAGCGTATACCACGGGTAGAATTGTAAGTTACTTTTCACAACAAGTCGGTATCCCTCCGCGTCTGAGAAAAACTGTATACAGTTTGCTTTTCTGATTGGCTCCCTAATCCCTAATAAATACCTTGTTGCAGCTGTAGAGAACTTGTATGCCTCTGGGTAGCATATGGACTTGATCAAGGACTTTGATGGCTGTGCAAGACTAGTCTGTAGAACCTGCTTCAGTCTTGAGGCTGTGATCCTTCCTGCTCTTTGGCTAAACCATATTGCTGATAAGCTCTGGTTTCTGGTCTCCTCTTCTACTGCCTGGACCTGTGGCTGTGTCAGCTCTTCCTGTCTGAAGTCCTGGCATGCATTCTGCAACTCTGTTGGGGATAGCTGTAGCATCTCTGGTGTCCTATACTGAGGTAGTGGTTTAGGTAGCTTGCTCACAGATTTAGGGACAACTTCTCTGTAATATGGTTCCCTGGACATCAGTGCAGCACTTCTTGGGGAATTTCTGCTCAAAGTCTTGAAAAACTGCATATACCTCTCTGATCCTCGCTCCAATTTTGAACCCTGGACTGTGGGACGCTGAAATGTGTGCTTCTCACCTGTCCTTCCAGCAATGGCATCATCCAGTTTTTGCTTTTTGGATTTTGCGGATGAAAAGTCTATCATCGCAACTGGAGCAGCAGGAATCTGCACATGTGAGAGACAGACCAACATGTATGTGAACATACATGTAGGTGCAGTGTAACAATGAGACAGGCAAGGACGGCATGAACAGCTGACTGACCACTGGGGTCTGAATACCTTTTTGACATGTGATGGCATTAGCCACTTGCACTTCTCAGTGGTGCAGGATGCAGTTTCTCTCATCTTCACACCTGCTTCGATTGCAAACAGAACTTCTCCAACATGTGATCAGGATTCTGACAAACTGTATAGACAGAGACATACTAGAATAACTAGATTGATCGTAAAAGCTAGTAATGGTATAACATGAATATTATAGCAGGCATTATTTTGTCTGAGCTTAAGTGTTGTGTCAAATATGCTTTGGGTTGGGATATTTATTTTATGACTTACCCAGCCATACAGTTACAGTGTGCTGTAACAACCTCTCCATCTTCTTTAGCTACAATCCACGTTTTTAATGGTGTTTCTCCAGACCTCTGGGAATGGTTGACCTACACAATTGAAGCTCCAGTTCACAACTTGCGAGTTGGTAACATACATTTAACAACATCACAAGCAACACATAACCAGATGGTCTTGGTAAAGAGGTTGTTTTTAATATTAACCTCAACATAGAGTGATATAAACAACGTGCAGGCTGTTCAAAGGCTCTGAGCTGTCTATACACACAAAACACAATATATCCTAAGCTAAACACATACACATAACAAACATACACATATATACACACAACACACTCACAGGCCAGTTAATGCTGAAGGCAAGGCGACAGCCGTAACACTGCCTTACATGAGTCCATGTAGCTAAAGTTAGCTAGATGTCTCCTAATAATGCTACTTAGACGTAAGAAGGTATAGGTAGTTAACACTCACCCGGGCAAAAACAAGGCGACATTTGTTTAATGCCTCTTTGGTGCCGAGGTCATTCACCCATCCACACACGAAGTAGTTGAAAGCTTCCAGGCTTTTATACGCTTTCATCTGGCTAGCCGTGTAGTAGGAGGTATGAAGGACGAGGTAGCTGGTGATATCCATCGCCTGGACAGCGGGCAAATCGGATAAATCACGAGAAAAGTCGTTTTTTTTCAGCTGATACGGATCGTATCCGATGTGTGCTGTGATTTTTTCACGATATCTGCGGCGTGCAGGTTCATTTAATTGTTTGACATAGTCGGTGTCCTCCATGATTCCTGCGTTGATGAATGATTGCGTTTTCACTTCCTAACCTCCACTTGAATTTCGCGCGTCATACAAGTCACGTGACTGAAACCAAGCTGTAGCTCCAGCCCCACCCTCCCTGTGAGCACAGTGTGCTCTGATTGGTCGGGACACGTAACATGAACGTGCCGGGCGGCGCGGTCCCGTGGGTTAGATGCGCATTCATAATGCAGAGGGAAATAACTCTCAGAATAACGTTATTAGCACATTATTACAACTTGAGGAACGAATGTTTTTAATAAGAGCTATACAAGTGTTCATACTGGGTAGTTTATTTAGTTTTAAAAAAAAATGATGCAACGAGTTACAGACCACTCTTTCCCCATGTAAGTCAATGGGAAAAAGTGTTTCCGGGCCTGGCAACCAAACGGAAGTGTAGTACCGCCGTCTGGCCAGCACGAATATTTTCATCTGAGTCCGGCGCACTTCCTGGGGGCTTGGGATACACGAGAGCAGACTACGCGGAAGTGTTTTCACTACTCGTGTATAAAAGCCCCGCCCCCACCTTCCCAGCTGGTCGGTTTCAACACAGGAAAACCGACTGGAAGATAAGTGGAAAAGCGTCACATAAATGTAAGTGCTCACAGCTCAGTGGGAATTATTATGTGCAATTCATTTCTTAAGGTTATACTAACAATTTAAGTCATGTTTAATGATCTTGAACGTCACTAAAACATAGCTATTAAGAAAGCTATTTCATAAATGGCTAGATCTTGTTAAATCACTATTATTTGTTTTGTTTTGTGTTAAGATATTCAGGAGTAAAATTATTTAAAATTCACAGTCCTGAATGTGGGTTTGTGGTGAATGTGGGGATCTACAGGACACACATTTTCAGAGTAAAGGCTTTCACATTACTATAATTATATTTGTATTTAAATGTAGGCTACATTTTACACCAAAACGGAACACAAAAGCAGGACCAACCATCATACATTAAATTCCTTGACTAACAAGAGAAAGATTCATTCATTTAAATAAATATTTAACAACAAATGGGCCGGTTCTAAGGGGTTATTCAGTTAAGCCCGATGAGAGGGGATACAGCTGTGCACATGTCATCATTAACAGACGTCGTTTGAAAGTGACGTTTGAGTGAACGAGGACATCCCAATTAATAGCTGAAGACTCCTCTGTCCTCGCGTCACCTCCTCGTGTCTCTCGCTCGCATCTTACGGAGGCGGAGCTAAGACGCAAGGAAGGGACGCGAGTGAGGGAAAGGAGGAGTCGAGGAGGGGTATTGGGATGAGGCCAATCTATGGATGAGGCTAGTGAGTGTGGATGCTGAGGAGCACAGCACACCTGTCAATCAAAGCACAACCTCTTAAATACTTCTTCTTTCCGAGAACAATCAGAGAGTGGAACTTGCTACCAGAAGAAGCTGTCATCGCAGAAACCGTGGAGTGCTTCTGGCAAATTTTAAGAGACATTTAGCGGGGATCATCCATCCCCCACTGAGCGTGATACCTCTGGGTTCTGCTCAGTATTAATCCAGATCCAGATCCAGAACCTCTCTGGCAGTGTTGGAAGAAGTACTTACTTAAGAACAATTACAAACACTATCAAGATGTAGGCTACTTAAAGTAAAAAAAGTTTTTAAAAAAGTACTCATTCTGCTGCTGACCCATTTCATAATAGTAAAATGTACAGAAGTATTATCAGCTAGGTGTACTTCAAGTAAAACAACTCCATATGCAGAATGTGTGTTTTCACAGTATTATTATGGTTATTGTTTTATCCTGTTTTACATATAAGAGCATTTTATAAGAGTATTGTAGTTAATAAATGTGGACGAAATGTAGACACTGTAGATAATATAAGTACAGTACTGCATTATACCATATCAGCAGCATATATGTGTTAATATGTGTACAAAGCAACTGTGAGTTTTCCATCAGCGATGTACGGCACCGTGGAAATAATACAACAACATCCTTTGTTTATATTTGAAAAATCCAAAACCTTTATTCATATCTAAACATTTAATTTGATCACACATCCCATCAGTGAAGTCTGTTCAATGATTTCATGATCAGATTCACTTCATCCACACAATCAGAATCTCAGTTATTTAAAACAGAATAAGAAATGATTTACTTGATTATTATCATGATATTTACAGTTGTATAAAACATCATAGTAGTTAAAGTGTACAACAACAACCACAGTAAATCTGCAATAAGAAATTGTAATAATATATATAAACAAATCCCACACAAATAGTCTTGAATATCGACAGGAGAATAAAAAACTATTCACTTATTTATTATGATCCTGCCAGTAAGTAATATCATTTGAATTACTTTATGATCAAATACATTTTAAAACATCTGGGTACCTTGTTACTTAATATGGGCAGCAACAATCATATTTAATCTCTCAAAATAAAACATGTAATTATAAATGTGTCTTTTTTTTGTACAGAGTAGTGAGAATAAAATATCAATATTCAACAAATATTTAGAGCAAAGTTTACATTTCCATGCAGAGAAATATGAGTAGAGGTTAACAGAAATGCTCCTGAGCAGTGACAGCCTCCATGGCTAAACAGACACAGGAAGGAGCGCCGCCTAAAGAAACTCCAACATCTACAGAACAACTCATGAGAAGATGTTAAAGCACATCCCATAATGTTTGATTGACAGCTGATCTCTGTGCAGTGAAGACATGAACAATCAGCTCTCAGCAACAATGATGGACGCAATGAGTTTAAGAAGTAGAAGAGTTCCTCAAATGACTTCAGGCTATTTCAGTTTACAAAACTCAGCTGTGTCTTCAACATAACACAGCCGAACTCCAGCATGTAGCGGCTGAGTGAATGTGGTCTGGACTCTGTGGAGGAGAGTCATGGTTTCAGAGATGCTGTAGAAGGACAGAATACCTGCTCTGTGATCCAGGTACACTCCTACTCTGGAGGACTGAGGACCTGAGATGTTAGTGTGGATACTGTTGTAATACAATGTATATCTGTTTTGGCTGCAATCTAAGGACCAAGATTTGTCATTGTATCCTAATGCACATTCAGAATCCATAAACCATTCACCCCCACTCCCTGCTCTGCTGATATTCTTGTATGTGACTGCTACATAAACTTCTCCCCCTCTCCACTCCACCTCCCAGTAACAACGTCCAGTCAGACTCTCTCTACTCAGGACCTGAGGATAATAAGTGAATCTGTCTGGATGACTAGAATAAGACTGTAGTTGTTGTCCCTTGTATGTTGCTTTTTTGCTCCCCTCAGATAATAACAGCTGTGTGTTTGCTGTGTTTGGATCCAGAGTGATCTCCTGTGAATATGTTAAGAACCCAGCTCTGGTGGTGGGCTCTGCTGCTGACAGTAAAACTTCCACTTCAGGCGGTGAGACGTTTGTCCATTCCTCTCTCAGGACGTCCTGTAGTTTGTCTCTGACTGCTGACAGGGCCGCCGTCACGTCCTCAAAGTAGCTCAGAGGACGGATGTTGATGCTGGAGGAGTGTGTAGCTTCACTGAGGGCTGGCAGTGAGGGGTAGCTGTGCAGAAACTGGTTGTGATTCTCTGTGTGAGACAGCAGCTTCAGCTCAGCATCTCTCCTCTTCAGCTCAGAGATCTCCTGCTCCAGCTTCTCCTGGAGCTCTCTGACTCGACTCACTTCTCTCTTCTGCTGGGATCTGACCTGCTGCTTCACATCAGAGCTTTTCTTCTCCATGAGACGGATCAGCTCAGTGAACATCTTCTCACTGTCCTCCACTGCTTTATCAGCAGAGCCATTGACGGCCTCCACCTCCTGCTGAAGCAGCTTCACCTCCTTCTCTCTGTCCTGGATTCTCTGCTGGATGTTTAGTCGACTCCCCTCCAGCTCTCTCTGCCTCTCAGTCCTCTCTGCTGCAGCAGACACCGTGTCGTGGCCTTTGTGTTCGTCCACAGAGCAGAGAGAACAGATACACTGCTGATCAGTGCGGCAGAACATCTTCATCACCTCGTCGTGACGAGAGCAGATGTTCTCCTGGAGCTTCTTGGAGGGCTCCACCAGCTTGTGTTTCTTTAATGGAGCTGCGTCATAATGAGGCTGGAGGTGTTTGTCACAATAAGAGGCCAGACACACGAGGCAGGACTTACAGGCTCTCAGTTTTCTCCCAGTGCAGACATCACAGGCCACATCTTCAGCTCCAGCATAGCAGAGATTAGCAGGAGCAGCTTGGAGTCCAGTCTTCTTCAGCTCCTCCACTAAAGCTGCTAACATGGTGTTTTTCAGCAGGACAGGCCTCGGTGTGAAGCTCTGCCTGCACTGAGGGCAGCTGTGGATCTTCTTCTCATCCTCTCCATCCCAGAAGCCTTTAATACACTTCATGCAGTAGCTGTGTCCACAGGGAATAGCCACCGGATCCTTCAGTAGATCCAGACAGATCGAACAAGAGAAGGTTTCCCGGTCCAGCTGAACTCCTTTCTGCGCCATTTCTCCTCTCAGTGGCAGCGAGTGTCTGAGTTTCACTTCCTGAAACTATGTGAGCTGTGGTCTGAACAGCATGTGTGTGTGCAGTGAATGTGGCCTATCAGCTCTTACTTTACCCACATGTTGGTTACACCCATCCTCCTCAGTGTGCATCTAAAGGGGAGGAACCAGGAAATACAGAGTGGAGCTGGCTGTGTCTGAGAGCAGGAAGAAGAGGGAGGGCTTATCAAACTCTGACTCATTCCAGGAGGAGGAGCAGCGCTGACACTCTGAACTGTTTCCTCATTTACAAACGGAGTCTCGCTTTCAACCTGCTCTACATTTGAAACCAGTTTTTAGTTTTAAAATATTTCTTTGCACCTTAGATAAAGGCTCCTAATCTCTGTAACTCCTGTTTTACTTCTGTTTGCTTCTCTTACAGGCTGAAAACAGCTGACTGACAATAGGGTGAAGCACGTTTAAAAAAAGAGTTAAACATCTTAAAACCTTCCTGATCCAAACAAGCATTTTAAGATACACAGATATGAACTTAATGATTTCATGATTGGACCTGAAATAGGCTGAAATAGCAGTGTGTGTTTCTCTCATAAGCTTTTTTTCCGTCTCTGCACAAATTAACACTTCAGTTATTGGTTTCATTCCTATTCGAAGATTCCAGCAGAGCAGAGTTATATTATACATTTATCAGCAGTGTGTGTGTGTGTGTGTGTGTGTGTGTGTGTGGGTATATGCTTTTATACTGACCATTTGCCCCTCAAAATAAAGCTTGATTTCCTGTCTCTGTACAAATGAACCCTCCACTGATGACATGTACGCAGTTTTATTCCTCTATGAAGACTCCAAGAGAGTTATAGATGTTTCAGCATGTGTTTGTGTGCCTACTGAGATTTATCCCAGTGATTTGTGTGTGTGTGTGTGTGTGTGTGTTTGTTTGTTTGTTTGTCCTGCTGAATGAGTTTGCTGGCTGTCATTAAAGCAGGGAGAACCAGTCTGTCAGGAGTCCCTGTGTGACTGAGTTCATCTTTCCTCGAGGCCCACTATCTTCCTTCTCTCCTCTATGTAGAGCGGACTCTCTCTCTGACACCATCTCTACATTTAACTCCAAGTGTCAGAACAACGCTCTTATGCAGAGCAACTTGTCCAAGTGGAACAGTAAAACAAAGATCTTAAATAAATCTCAAAGCAAGCAACCAAAGATGCAGGGATAGCAAGCACAGGGGCTCAGAGGCACGTTCAAATATCTTCTCATACTGCCTGTGCTGCAGCACCTCTTTTCACCCTCTGTCTGAAATCAGAGCCCAGTCTGCTCTGATTGGTCAGCTGGCCGGCTCTGTTGTGATCTGTTGTAGCGCTAGCCAATCGAAGCGCAAGTGTTAAATTGTGATGTCTCTATGTTACAGAATACACAAAGGAGTCCAATGGAGGCGTTTCAGGCCGGGCAACTTTTGGATTTAAGCCTTTGCAGAACATTTATACAGTAAAACCATTAGAACACACTACCACTTCAAGATGGTCCCTCTTGAGATGGTAGTCTCCGTGTATAAGCACTGTACTGTTTCTGTATGTGATCCCTGCTCATCCCCCTGGGAGACCCTGTATATTCAACATGTGTCAGTTCACAGCACTGGGATCCTGAGAGGTGAACATATAAGTAAAACCTAATGAAACTTGGAGACCATTGCAGACTTCAGTCTAGATTAAAACAGGAATATGAGAGAGACCTTTCAAACTGGTGGAAAAGTAAAAGCCCTCAGAGCTGCTGAAGGTCATTTAAATAGCTTGTTGAGAAGCCTGCAAGTGTCTTGGAGGTTCTGTGGCTGTTTTTGTGCATGTAAATGGTCTGCAGAGGCTAAAATCACTTATATTGTCTAGCGCTTACCAGTATTGGTTTACTTATAATTGAGCAAAACTTGAATGACTTTGTATATTGCAGTGTAGCTGTTGCATTTTACTCCAGGTGTAACTAAGGTTAAGTGTGGATTATATTTCACATCATTCATCCAAATCTGTAAAGTAACTAAAGGTATTAAATAAATCATTTATTATAAATGTAGTGGTGTGAAAGTACAACATTTACCTCTGAATTGCAGTGGGGTATAAGTAGCAAAACATTGAAATACTTAAATATCAAAATTGTACTTTAGTAAATCTACTTATTTTCTTTACATCACTGATTACTGATTTACCAAATAGTTTTTTCTGGAACACTTTAGAGCGGTGTTAAGTATATTGAATGTGTCTGCAGTACCCTTCGCTCCAGCAGGTGGCGTTGCTGCGTTTCTAACCGCTGTGTACTGTAATCCTCAGAAGAGAACACTTTCTAAACAAGTAGAAACTGTTGCCAAAGCAAGCCCATTTAGCAGTGTTCCCCCATGGCTTTTCCCAGAAGCTAATATAGATGTGAGTATCATAGAAAGGACAAAAGAGTGGCAAATAAATGAAGTGGGAATTAAAACGAGTAGCCTATGTATCTGAACGAAAAGTATTACAATTACCTCAAAATGTACACAGATGGATCTAAGAAACAAGAATGCGTGGGGATAGGCATGTATATCCCAGAATTAAAAATATCAATCGCAAAACGAGTATCAAATAACCTATCATCACTTTATACAGCAGAAATACTCGCAGCAATTATTGGGCTACAATGGTTGAAGAGGTCGGACCTGATAGTGAGTCTGCATATCACCACCCTAACTGCTTTGGAAAGCATACAGTCTACAATAACAGTTAGAGAATATTTAATCATGGGAATTAACCACTGCTTATTGAGACTTCAGAGGAGGGGAATAGATGTGCAGTATGCTGGGTGTCTGCACATGAGGGGGTTCAAGGGAATGAGCATGCTGATAAGTTAGCAAAAGAGGCGTTACAAAAGGAAATAGCAATACCAGTGTCACTTGGAGAAGGAGAAGGAAAAGCAATAATTAAGAAAAAGGGGACAGTATGGAAATATAGCAGAAATGGTTGGAGGAAGATCAGAAAGGGAGGAGATACCACAAGTTACAAAAATCAGTCATAATAAAGATCTATACAGAAAGGAACAGACGGGAGGAGATCATCATCACTAGACTCAGGCTGGATCATACAGGATTAAACGGCACAATGTTTTTAAAGGGAAAAAGCGAAGTTGAAGAATGCAGGGGGTGTGGAGTGAAAGAAAATGTGGAACACATACTATTACACTGCAACATATACAAAACAGAGAGGGGAAAACTAAGAGACAGGGTCAGAGAGGCAGGAAGGGAGTGGAGGCTGATGGGGATACTGGGAACAGAATGTGAGGGGGTAAGAGCTACCAGGAAGGCCATTCTTAAGTATTTGAGTGAAACAGGATTGATTGGAAGAATTTCAAAACAACGTAAACACAATGGTATAATTCCACAGGTGGTGATAGGATGATGTGGTGATACACACTCTTGTACAGTAGGTGGCGGTATGCACCTTAAAGTTGTTTGCAATCCGCCAAATAACCGAGAGAAGAAGAAAAAGAAGAAGTGGGTGTATAGCGTTCATGGCAGCAGCAGAATCAAACCTTAAAAAACTGGATGTGCTACAAGCTCAGGCCCTGAGAATTTGTTGTGGAGCTTTTAAAACATCTCCAGTATCAGCAATACAGGTGGAAATGGCAGAAATGCCTTTAAGGATAAGAAGAGTGAAGTTAATGTTGGCATAGGCTACTGGGTAAACCTTCAGGGGCATTGTGATAGTCATCCTGTGAAAAGTATTTTTGAAAGACTGCTGGGAGCACAATGAGTCACATTTAACAAGTTTTGGATGGATTGGCGATGTTAAAGCAGCAAGTATAGGTTTGAATCAAATACAGTATTGCCCCACAGTTCCAATCTCGTCCATTCCACCCTTATTCCCATTGCCAAGGGTAGACCTCAATATACAAAAAGAGTTGAAGGAAAAGAAATAACTACCAGTATGGCGCATAGTCCAGAATTATTTTGCAAGATATCACTCAGACTCAATAATCATATTTACAGATGGCTCCAAAGATCCAGAGACAGGGCGTGCAGGGGCAGCAGTTTATATCCCAGTGAGTAATACACATATAAATAAAAGGGTAACAGACCATTTGTCAGTATACACCACAGAGTTGTTGGCATTGGTGTTGTCATTGAAATGGATAGAGGAGAAAGAAATACATAATAGTGTAATTGCATCTGACAGTTTTTCCGCATTATCAAGTATACGATCAGGTAGATCTTCATTTAGAATGGACATAATAAATGAAATATTTCTAATTGTATATAAAATGCAAATCAAAGGCATAGCAACTCGTTTCATCTGGGTTCCTGCTCATGTTGGTGTGGAGGGTAATGAACAGGTGGATACTCTGGCCAAACAAACACTCAGAAGTATGAACATAGACATAGAAGTTCCACTCAGCAAAGCGGAGGTTAAAACATTCATTCAGAAATATGCACAAACAACATGGCAAGAACATTGGGACCTTAGTGATACAGGAAGACATCTTTATAAAATGCAAAGGTATGAGGGGGATGGAAGGGGTTTAAAAGAAGGGAGGAAAATGTCATTTCTCGGATGAGAATAGGTCATACAGGTCTCAATCATACTTTAAGTATAATAGGAAAGCATCCAACCGGAAAGTGTATACACTGTAGCCAGCCAGAAACTGTTGAGCATGTTTTACTACTTTGCAGGGAATATAGTACTCAGAGAAATGTGCTTTTCCAGACACTGAAGAAAGCAAAATTCCATGACTTATCGCTATCAGGGCTGTTAGGGAAAACATCAGGCAATATGTATTGTGAGATTATTACGTTTCTAATAGAAATTGATACATTTAAAAATAATCTAGAGTTTTGGTTCTTTATTTCTTTTATTTCTTTTGTTTATTGTTTTCTGCATAGTCTCTTGCCACACTCCAGTCCAGTTGGTGGCGGTAATGCGCCTACAAGTTGGTTTGCCAACCGCCAATAAACACTAAAGAAGAAGAAGAACAAAAAGAAGAAGAAGTAGAAACAGTAGGCCTACTCTAAAAAGCTCCGAGGTGTTAAGGACTGGGACGGCTGTCTTTAAAGTGTGTATACCCGTCTGTGTGTGTGTGCAGTATGTCGGCCTGCAGGCTGATGAGAGCCATCTCAGTGCGGGAGTTCGGGGCGCCGTCAGTCCTCAGGCTGACCGAGCTGCCCGTCCCTGAGCCCGGACCCGGACAGGTGAGACAGCTGCAGGGGAAACACACCTGCACACACACACCTTATTCTGTAAAAGTGACATAAGCTGCTTCAAACTACACTGTTATTCTGGAGTTGATGAAACACTATCTGTATGCAAACAGACTCAACGTTACTGCTCAGCATGCTTCTGTTGGGTTTAAAGGTCCCATTGCATCACACACAGTGCTTCCCCTTTACTCCACAAAATGTCAGAGGAAAATTGTGTACTTTTACTCCATTACATTTATTTAATACCGTTTCTTTGAAGATTTGGATTAATGATGTATGGAACAATCTGCACAATGACTACGGTACTTTTACTTTTCGTACTCTAAGTCAGATTTTGACTGCAGGACTTTTATTCATAACAGAGTAGGCCTATTCCTGCTCTTTGGTACTTTTTTCTTTTTTTACTGAAGTACAAGATCTGAGTACTTCTCCCACCTCTGGCCATGTAGGCTATGTGTTTCTGTGTGAATGCACTGCATTAATGCACACTGTAATGTAAATCTGGTTTATGGTGCATTGCCTATACAATGACAAAAAGTCAACAAAGTGCACCGTCCATACACACGTTATATATATATATATAGACAAAAGTATTGGGACATCCCTCTTAATCATTGAATTCCGGTGTTTCATTCAGTCCCATTGCCACAGTCAGTGGCGGCTGGTGGAAAATATTTTTGGTGGGGCAATGGAAATGGTGACCAAACCATACTAATAATTATGAATAATAATTATGACTTCTGTTGATGTTAGAGGAGGGGGGGAGGACAAATTGAGGCTTAAAAATATGAGATAATCCATAATCTTCAGTGTGGTTAGCTATGAATCTTCCAAAACTTCCAAATACCTTGTCCTGTACATAGTTTCTACAGTATAAACTGTGCAACAGTACAGTAGGCCCACACAAACTGCAGAACACTGGTGCTTTGGGAACACTCAAATGATTTAATTCCCATTTAAAATCAGGAGGCTAAATACGAAGTGTGTGTGTGTGTGTGTGTGTGTGTGTGTGTGTGTGTGTGTGTGTGTGTGTGTGTGTGTGTGTGTGTGTGTGTGTGTGTGTGTGTGTGTGTGTGTGTGTGTGTGTGTGTGTGTGTGTGTGTGTGTGTGTGTGTGTGTGTGTGTGTGTGTGTGGTGTGTGTGTGTGTGTGTGTGTGTGTGTGTGTGTGTGTGTGTGTGTGTGTGTGTGTGTGTGTGTGTGTGTGTGTGTGTGTGTGTGTGTGTGTGTGTGTGTGTGTGTGTGTGTGTGTGAACCCTCAAAGTCTGAGAGGGTGAGGAAGATAGTCACACAAAACAGAACAAGAATCGACAACTCGACCCTCTGCTCACTCCTTTCCTGTAAAATACAGGTCCAGCCCACACATATGCTCCATGGTGCTACAGGCATTGCCCTTACAACTACAATAAGCATATAAATGTTAATCTACAGCTCCGGCGATCCACTAGCACCCGGAGTCTCCACCTGCAGACGCAGCCATCCTCATCAACTACTGTAGCATCACCTTGGATACGAGTCCAAACAACTCACAGACTGCATTGGGCGCTGAAATTGGCGCCCTATGACCATCAGATCTGACGACGCTGATTGGCTGAAATTATGTTTCGGCGGCATAGTTTACAGATAGCAACAGTCAGCTGCACTGGCTGAGGGCTCCTTTCTTAGCGCCCAGACGAGAGAGGGTAATGATACACGCTGCGGCCAGGCAGGAAACATGTGACTTTGCCTTTACAAACATTTGTGAAAAATGGGTCGTTCTAAAGAGCTCACTGAATTCTAACATGGTACTGTAATAGGATGCTGCTAAGGCGCATAGTGCGTAAAAGTGGCCAAAGCTCTGCTGACTGGACCCCTCCAGTGAAGCGGATTCTTAATGCTTCATCTTACCAAGTCATTTTGGACAATTCTATTAGGGATGCTCCGATCAGGGTTTTTTTGGGCCGATCACCGGAATCAGTATCGGCCGATACCGATCGCCGATCCGATCATAGGGTGGGTGGGGGCTATGGGGATCTTCCATTTAAAGTGATGTTTAAAACTCAGTTAATGGGGCTCATTTTTATATTGCTTTAGTTTATAATCGTAACGGATCGAAAAGTTCAGATTAATTTTCAATACATGATGCGCTTTCACAAACAACATAATTATTACATTCAAATGAAGTACTGACAGCCTGTCAGTATCTCATGCAGCTCACTGACCCACCCAGTAATGAGTGACCCGACAGTGAAGAATAAACATATTTATAACTAGTTTAGCTTGTTCCAGAGGTAGATAAAATAGCTACGTGTGTTAGGTCTAACTCTCTTAGTGAGTGTTTTGCTCCGCTCAGCGGTCCGTCACAGCGGGCGGAGCTGCAGGATTTCTGCTTCACACACGTTGCATACCGCTATTTTATTGTCATTTTCGGACACCTTAAAATACTGCCTGACCGGTGAAGCCATTTTGGCGAGCTTGTTTTGCCGCACACAGAGAAAAGTGTCATGTATTTTACGTCATGTGATCGGCTCTCCTGATCGGCCTTTATAGAGAGCACCGATCGATCGGCCGAGAGTGAATATCGGCTGATCGATCGGAGCATCCCTAAATTCTATGCTTCCAACTTTGTGGGCAAAGTTTGGGGAAGGCCCTTTTCTGTTCCAGCATGACTGTGCCCCACAAAGCAAGGTCCATAAAGGCATGGTTGGATGAGTTTGGTGTGGAAGAACTTTACTGGCCCGCACAGAGCCCTGACCCCCACCTTTGGGATGAACTAGAACGGAGAGCCAGGCCCTCTCTTCCAACATCAGTGTCTGACCTAAAAAATGCTCTTCTGGATGAATGGGCAAGAATTCCCACGGACACACTCAAACATCTTGTAAAAAGCCTTCCCAGAAGAGTGGAAGCTGTTATAGCTGCAAAGGGGGGACCAACTTCATATTAATGCCTGTTACGATCTCACTAGGGTTGAGGAATGTAACACACACCAGAATGGAATTGGTAATCAATTATAATAGGGTTTAATGGAATAATCAACAGGTGTACAACAAAAAGGAGGACAAATATAGCCTAAGCCAAACTAAGGAGCCAAAAGGGCACAGGTAAACTGCTAAACAAAAAGAGGACTCTAAAAGGGAGTCTAAATCCACACCTGGCTACACCGCTAATCACCACTAATCACCGCTAATGGGGAGGCCGCAGGGAAATGCAGCTAACACAGGGAAAACCAAACACGCTACTCTAACACATATCTAAACACGCTACTCTAACACATATCTGAACACACTACTGTACACACGGATCACACAAGTTCTGACAGTTTAACTCTAATGTGTCCACGACACAGGAGCAAGATGAATGAGACTTCTGATCGCAGCAGAGCCTCCCGAGTGATAGCCGTCCCCAGGCTTTGTAGTTATCTCCGGCAGGTGTGCGCCGGCTGTACGCTGCGATTGGAGTGCGTCGGGCCCGGGCCCCCAGGAGATGGCAGCCAATCACGTCAGGGCAACCGCACAGCTCATTTACATACAACACAGAGGAACACAGTTAAGAGGACCAGGAAGACAGCAGCCGTGACAATGCCTAAGAATTTGGAATAGGATGTCATAAAAGCTCCTGTAGGTGTAATGTGTTGGTGGCCCAATTATTTTGTCTATAGTGTATGTATGTCTAAGATCAGTCACATGTTTTCAGCTGTTGTGTCTCTCCTCACTGTCTCTCTGCTGCAGGTGTTGATCCGTGTCCACGCCTGTGGAGTGAACCCTGTGGAAACCTACATCCGGGCAGGGACATACCCCCGTAAGCCCCCCCTGCCCTACACACCGGGGACAGACGTGGCCGGGGTGGTGGACAGTGTTGGAGAAGGAGTCACTGCAGTTAAGGTCTGTGTTAAAAACACTAAAAATAGAATCAATGGTGGATACATTTCATATTTACTTCATTTTGTTTATTGATATTGCATCCATGGCAAAATATAATGTAAATAAATACAATCATTTGAGTAGAAATGTTTAATAAATAATAAACTATAGCTGAAAAATAAAATAAAAGAAGAATGTATGACAAATGAGTGTAAATAGTGTATGCACTAAAGAAAATGGGTGTAGGCCATAGACTATGATTAGGAAAGGAAAGTATTGCCTGCACACAAATGAAATAAAATGTTTTTATTCAAGCTGAATCTGCTTCATGTGCTACAGTGTGTCAAACATGAACACATCATGGATGAGAACCACCTTCAAAGAGCTACAGCCCCACTCCACTAGCTTATGTTGGCTAATGCTAGCTAGGACTGCTCATTATTTTATGAAAAAAAATCGTTGCCCAATAAAATGTCTGTAAACAGTGAAAAATGCCCAACTCCAAGGGCATCTCCCAATGTCCAAGTTGATGTCATAAAATGTCTTGTTCCATCAGCCTTATCTCCAAATATATTATTTTCTGAATGATATAAAACTGAGTAAATCCGATCATCTATGTTTTTAAGATGCTTAAAATATGTCAATCAGAGCTTGGAGTGGTTTTGGACCAAAAGCATTTAAAGGTTGGTCATTGTGTTCTAACATTCGGTTAACCTGAAGAAAATGTGTTTGAATTGAAGGCTGAAAGAGTTAAAGGCTCCTGGTGGATGTACAGTGAATCCATGTTCTGTGTGATGTGCAGGCAGGAGAGCGCGTGTTCACCACAGCCACAGAGTCTGGAGGCTACGCAGAGTTCAGTGTAGCAGCGGAGCAGTGTGTCCACAGACTGCCCGACGCACTGCACTTCACCCAGGGTGCAGCCATCGGGGTCCCTTACTTCACCGCCTACAGAGCTCTGGTTCACAAGTAAGCCCTGCAGCACTGTGGCCCTGGCTGCTGGGTCTGGCTCTGACCCTGCATCACTTTTAGCTGATGACATGATCTTTTGAAGTATCATTCAACTGCATCGTTTCCACACATCTCCAACTTCCTTACCTTAGGTCATTTCTGTGAATTCACATATTTAATTTCAAGTTGTTCATTTCCGTGATGTGATAAACTCTGAAACGTTTTCAGAAGTTTATAACTCTTTTTGACCCCGTCTTTAAACCCTGATATTTCAAGATATATATGTTATGTTAGGTAAAATGTTAGCAGGAATATAAGTTGCCACACAATTATGATTGTGTATCATCATGACATTAAAGTAGCCCTATTATTCTCATTTTCAGGTTCATATTTGTATAGGACTGAGGGGATACAGAGAGGAGGTCTGATTAAAGACTCCTGCGGAACTACACTTTTATTCCATAGACGTTAGGACTGCAGGATTTGGAAACAATTACACATTTTGATTATTTTAAAGGGGGCCTATTCTGCTCATTTGATCAGAATTCCAAACAGAGATTAACAGTGTGTTGGAGACTGTTGGGAGCACTTGGGGGACGCAGAGCAGCAGGCGATCAGTCCCATGCACTCCTGTCAGGATAGACCAGTTAATATGAAACAAAGGATTTTAATAAGGTTACTAAATATATCTTTATGAAACGGACTAAAGCTTTTTGGTTTTAACCTTTGTGTGGGTTTATTTGAAATGAATGAAATGTCATGTCTCTAACTGCTGTGCTGTGTGTTGCAGAGCTCACACCCAACCTGGAGAGACTGTCCTCATCCACGGAGCCAGTGGGGGGGTACGATGGTTTCTTTCCTTTAACTTGTCTTTTAATTTGTTAACACATTACAAACAAAATACAGGTCACCAGAGGCAATGCAGCGCTTCAATATGTCCTCAGCAATTAGACCTGTGTTATGATAGAAATGTACCGGGGGCAAAACGCAACATCTTGCAAGAAACAGCGTCTGAGGGCTTCTTAACATTTAACAAACTATGAATGTGTCATACCCACTTAACGGGAAGAAACTCAGCTATAGGACAATATTAACAATTTTAGCTAAACGAAACACAAGGCTCTGAATTAGCCCTGAGCGAGCTTAGCACGGAACTCACGGTAGAAATACTTTATTACTTATTATCAGATCTGCACAAACAAGATATCAGATTAAAGCTGAGATTCCACAGATTCTAGAGGTATCGCGGCAGCAAAGGCAAACCCAGACAACATACCACGTAGCTTTACTGAGCCAAAACGGCAAATATGTTTTACCTTTGCTGTTTTTCTGATCAAAAGTTGTGTTCAATGGCATTACAACGATGAAAACGCTGCTGAAGGTTAATCCAATGTGTCTGTGTCCCTTTGAAATGATTACTGATAATCCATCATAACATTTATGTCATCAAGAGTAGTTTTCATATAGAGTGTGAGAGCTGTAACCCAGCCTCCGGTTTTGGGCATGCTGGCTGCACATCCCTCTCATTCACCAATGGTAATGTTTAGATGGATTTAGGAACTTCCCCTTAATTCTATTGGCTCTAACGGTTCAAAAGTGGTGTCAATCACCAAAATCGACCGATGGGTTCCAGAGATATGGCAAATCCACCCAAATGACCCCAGAGGTGTGTTTTTTTTCTAAACCTCTCTAAAAAGGTCACTTGTTTTGCATCATTCTTGATACAGGGTACTTATTGTTATAGTTTGGATTCCTAAAGCTTTTAGTCTACTATCCCATCATTCAAAGGTGGTTTTCACTATAAGTGAACCAGTGGCCATGGTCCCTCCTCTAGTCCCAACTCAAGTCCCTTCTCTAGTCCCTACTCAATTCCCTTCTCAAGTCCCTTCTCAAGTCCCTCCTCTAGTCACTTCCCTAGTCTCTTCTCTAGTCCCTTCTCAAGTCCCCTCTCTAGTCCCTCCTCTAGTCCCTTCACAAGTCCCTTCTTTCGTCCCTTGCCTAGTCCCCTCTCGAGTCCCTCCTCTGGTCCCTTCCCTAGTCCCTTCTCTAGTCCCTTCTCTAGTTCCTCCTCTAGTCCCTTCCCAAGTCCCTTCTCTAGTCCATTCTCGAGTCCCCTCTCGAGTCCCCTCTCGAGTCCCCTCTCGAGTCCCCTCTCGAGTCCCTTCTCAAGACCCCTCTCTTACGGATTAATATGCACTGTCCTTTAAATAAATAAACAAACAAACAAACAAGTAATGGGATTTTTTTGGACGGAAACTATAATTTACATTTGTTTACTATGTTCAATCTGAATTTACTTTAAAATAAAAACATCTATATTGATTGTAATTTTCTACATCCAACTCACAGGTGTATCATTGCTTTGAGAAAATAAATTATTAATTTACCCCTTTTGAGAAGTGAAGATATAGTCATTTGTTCTGGGCATGTCATTTTCGAGCCTAAAACCTGAAGTGGTTTTGGGGGTTATTGAGGATGCTGAATGCATTTTAAACCAGAAAGTGTCCATGTTTTTATTCATTCCACATATCCAATAGTTTCAACATCAACTCATGGTAGTCAAAATCAGCCCACCCGGAGTACAAATATGGCCCCTTTCTGGTTAAAACTGTTTTTTTATCCTCAACAACCCCGACAACATCTCCAAAACTGTCCAAATCGGTCAACCATATTTGACTTTTTGGTCTGCATAGGCTTTAATCAATCAACCAATCAATGTTTATTTATATAGCCCAATATCACACATGTTACATTTGTCTCAGTGGACTTCACAGTTTGTACAGAATATCAGTCTGACAATACGACACCCTCTGTCCTTGGACCTTCACATCGTACAAGGAAAAACTTCCCAGAGAAAAACCCCACAGTTTAATGCTAATTAACGCAACTTTAGCTAACTTTGCAAATTGCCCAACATATGCAAGTTATCCTCCGGCAGTTTCTATGTGATGGGGACCCCTACTATACATTTCTATCATAAGACTTTGGGCTACTCAACATTTCTGGGTTCACTATGATGACAACTAGACTGTTACACGTGTAGAGTAGACTGGTTAAGCAGGTCAATCCCACTTAGGAAATAAGCAAGAAGTTACAGACTCCTTGTGCCAGACAATTTTCCATGGATTATGAAAGAACCCTCTTAATGTGTAAATCCCATTTGGACTAGTACTTTTCTAATTCAACACAGAGTCTCAAAGGAACAGTCTCCCATGTGAAACAAGTCATTTACAATGTTTATCCATTCTCCCTTTGTTGGAGTTCTTTCACAAGCCATATTTAGTCATTGCCTTTTGCTAGCTATCAGTAATATCTAAAGAAGATCCCGGACATTACATTTGACTGGCATTTCAGTCAGCAATTTCTTTTCACTTTCTGTGTGTGTAGGTTGGCGTGGCAGCGTGCCAGCTGTCCCGGGCTCTGGGTCTCAGGGTGTTGGGGACGGCAGGGACCCCGGAGGGGATGAAGCTGGCCCTCAACAACGGCGCTCACCTGGCCTTTAATCACAGAGAGGAGGGCTACACACACAAGATCATGGTACACACACACGCACGCACACACACACACACACACACACAGAAACACCAAAAGGACGGGGAGTAGTCATGAATGGATCTCATGGAGCATTTGAACATCTATAACCCAGATTCACAGAGAGAAAGCTCATGTTGGTTCTGTCAGGTGTTGTCGTGGTGTTGCATAATTATAAACTCTGTATTTAAGTGTGTGTTTGTTTATTTTAAAATACTTGTATTGGTTTTTAAAGCTCTTAATGTTCCTGAGCCAGCTATTTATCGGATTTGCTTTTAACCTATAGCCCTTTAGAACAAGTGGTGCTCACTGCAGAGCCATAACCACCTTTAGCTCTAGCTCCAGAGAGTTGGAGCTAGAGGTTATGGCTCTGCAGTGAGCACCCTCTCCTCTCGAACCCTCGGGTGTCTTTTAATCATACCAGAGGTCAAACAAAGACCCACGGTGAGGCGTCTCTTCATTGTCACGGCCCGCCACTGTGGAACAGCCTCCCACAGGACCTAGGGCTGCGGGAGCAAACTCAAGACCCAGCTTTTTAATTTGGCTTTAAACTGAATTTTATTTTATTGTAATGTTATTCCTTTTTATTATTTTTATTTAGTTGTATTATTATTTCATTCCTGTTTTATTCAGTCCTGCGTTGGTACTAGTGTTCTTTTAATCACAAAGATATGTGTTACTCTGGTTATGGGGAGATATTATTGTTATTTGTTTTTGTAAAGTGTGTATGTGTTTGGTTTGTTGAGCACTTTGAGTTACCTTTGTGTATGAAAAGTGCTATATAAATAAAGTTTTGATTTGTGTGTGTGTGTTGCAGGAAGCCACAGAGGGCCGAGGCGTGGATGTGATATTAGAGATGCTGTCCAATGTGAACCTCAGTAAAGACCTGCAGATGGTGGCCTATGGAGGGCGAGTCACTGTGAGTAGGTCTGCACCAGTGCTCTAAAGAGAGAACTGGGTACGGCGATGGAGGCGGCGCCTCGTTCATTCATGAGAGCTGCTCAGTGGCCATGAAGTCAAAATGGCCTGCCGCTCACGAGAGCAAAGCGTCTCTAATGACCCGTCATGCTGCCTCTCGAGAGCAGAAGTACCAGTATGTGCGCTCTAGGGCTGCTCCCAATTAGTCTATTAAATGTTAGTCGGCGGAAAAAGTATTTGTCGACAACATTTTCATTGGTCAATTAGTAAAAAAAAAAGTTTTTAAAAGCTCCGTGCGCTGCATGTGCTATGAGCGTCAGCCGGAAACCCCCTCACACTTCATTCAGAGCTGTACCTGGTCATTAAGTTAATTTGGTTGGCTAGGAAATCCAAAGTGTGGATCCTTCTGAGCGAGTAAAGGACGAGCAAACTACGACGGCAAAAAGTAGAGCTCGAGCCAAATGTTCCGTGTGTGTCCTCGCTGCTTGTTCACACACACAATAAGAATCCTTACCGGAGCTTCTGCTGTTCACTCCGCTGCGTCCGTGCGCCGTGACTCTCATGCTCTCTCTACATTTAATTTATATTTCAAAGTTCATTATTACAGTTTTATTTTATATTTTATGTGTAGCACAACGTACCATGCTGTTATAACAACGCTCTTTATCAGCCTTTGAAACCGAAATGATTTTGGGGGGGGAACAAATATTTATATTTAGAATCATAATTGATCATAAACGTGCGACGATTAGTCGACTAATCGCCTTAATTGACGACTATTCGTCGACTAGAAAAATCTTTAGTCGGGGGCAGCCCTAGTGCGCTCAGAGCATGCGCACTGGAGTTTCCCTTTAAGCCCTGCCTCCGGTCTCCCGCTCTCTGTCAGTCAGATGAATGGAGAGAGAATTACTCTGGATTCTGCTTTTAGCGCGTTTGACACATTTTAAACCCTAATGATTGAAATAAGGGCTATACAACTGTTCGTACGGGGTAGTTTGTTTAGTTAAAAAAAATATCCGCAGATTTAGAGACGTCACTTTCCCAATGTAAGTCAATCAGAAAAAGTAGAAGATAGTAAGAATCCAGGAATGGTCATAAATTCCCTTTTTATTTATGTATTGATTGTATAGCTATTGCTTGTTTTTGATGCACGTTAGTGTCAAACAGCTGAGTTAGTGAGCACTGCAAACTGGATTTTCCAGTTTCTGAGTTTCATAGAGATTTGCAAACTGTCCAGTGTTAGTACAGCTACTGTCATGTCGTTTGTTCCGGTGTGTCTCAAACTTCTTCTGTTTTCCTCTTTTGTTTAAGGTGATTGGCTGCAGAGGCTCCATAGAGATCAACCCCAGAGACACCATGGCTAAAGAGAGCTGCATCATGGGAGTGGCTCTTTTCTTCGCTACACCGGTACAGAGCAGTGACATCACACAGCCATGTTTTAAACCTCATGTCCACTGCAAGCTACAGCTATAGTCCCCCATGGAACAGCTGTTTGGTTCTCCATAATCATGAGTTGGAGACATGTTGCTGAGCCAATGCAAGGATCCGAGCTTTGTTTTGGGTTGAACATGATGTCACACCTGATCAGCTGTGCATGGGACAACTAAGAATCCTGCTTACAGTATATAGACTGCTTTCTATTTACAGCTGAGAACGAAAATACCTTTTACCAAACGTAGGTTAAAACGAGCAGAACCGTGCAGTGGAAATTAGTAAAAATGTCGGAGCCTATTGATGGTATCTGGACTGTTTGAAAAAAGGAACATATAATGACATGTTTAAACACCAGTACAGGTTAGAAGTGTCCCCTTTAGGTATCGGCTCAACTCAAAAACCTTGACTGAATGTCAGTGCAATGGAACTGACATTCAGTTATTGGTTTAAATGTACAGTTAAAGACAACATGACAACAACAACGTATTCTGAAAACCAGACCAATGCACAGCAACACAAAGTAAAGTAATATGAGTAAAATAATACATCAACAATATCCAAGCAAGCAACAAAACTCAGCCAAGCAATCTTGATTCTGTTTAGTTTGACACTTGGTGACCTGCAGGCAGCTAGCAGCATTAGGATATACATGTAGTACACAGCATACATGACGTAGGTACACGTTAGTAACATGCTGATAGGACACAGCAAACATCAGACATGCAGCACAGAGTGGAAACTATTAAAGATTGCAAATTGTTCTAACATTCCTTTATATATTTCATAATTTCCAAAGGCTTGTAAAGCTTAGCATGTGACAAAGGGCAGGACAAGGGACAGGTTAGCTACAAGGGTTCATCAATAACTTACCTACGCAAAACCAAAAATGAACCAACCGAGTCGTGCCGTTTATGATGACAACATTTCGCTGGGTTTAAATCCAGATAAGGCAAAAGCACATACATCCTTCACTCAAGGAGAAGTACAGATACTCGTGTTTAAAAATACTCTGGCAAAGGTTGAAGTACAGACTAAACCTTTTTACTCAAGTAAAAGTAAAGAAGTATGGGCTGAAGTAAAAAGCAGAAGAGACCAGCTGGTCACTGGACCTCACTTTATAGAACATTAAAGAACTTCTATTTCAAATTGTATTATTGTCAGTGCTAGCAGTTGTCTTGCTGCTCCTGCCTTGCTCCATTGAAATACCTTTGTAGGATACCAGTAGTTGCTTCCTGCTGACTGCCAGCGTTGGCACAGCTCTCATTGGTCCCTCTTCTTTCGAGAGGACCAGGACAAAATTAAAATAGGCGCTCAATGACTAAATCATAATGATCACACCACCAAATGCAGATTCAAACTAAATCCTGTTTTGAAAATGTGAAAAGAAGAGAGTACAGGTATGTGTGTTAGAAATGTTAGGAGTAAAAGTCAAAAGTTATGAAATATATTGTGGAGTAAAGTACTGATACCAGAAAAATCTACTTAAGTAAATTAGCGAAGTATTTGTACTTCACTATTTCCCACCTCTGTTTCTATCTTACTCGCACCTGAGAGGCTGTCACACGGTTTATTGGAACATGTCTGATGTACTTCCTGTTTCAGGCGGAGAGCCGGCAGTGTGCGGCGCTGCTGTCGGCGGGGGGGGAGGCTGGCTGGCTGCAGCCCGTCGTCGGCTCTCAGGTACCGCTGGACCAGGCCCCCCAGGCACACCATGACATCATCCAGTGTCCCGGGGCTGCTGGGAAGATCGTCCTGACCATGTGATGAGGAGACCACCATAAAGAGGAGGGGCTTACTACATCAATGATATTATCCGGTTACATTACCTTTTGAAATGAGAACTAATGTCCTCATTTATCATTACTGCCTCTTTGTAAATCATGAGCACTAGAATATGTGGAGGATCACTGTTGAACTTTTTAAAACATCAGCTAATCATTAATGATAACATGACCTAAGAATCAACATTTCGTCAGAAATGTGACTATATAATATAACAATGAGGTTTTAAAGACTCTTGAGAAGATGGATACTATGAATATGTATTTTCATGAATAGTTTGACAAATGAAGTGAAAAACACATTTCTCTATTTTCTTTTATTTGCTGATGTGAAAAAACAATATTGACATTTACCAGTGGTGAAATGTAAAGTAAAATAAAGTATTTTTACAAGGGAGTATTTTCTACTTTTACTTGAGTGAAATATCTGAGTACTTCCACCATTGAAATTTAGGAAGATGACATGGGAAGGAGCAAAGTGAACGGCTAATTTCAAACAGCACCTGTGTATCTCAGGTGACAGCCGGCTCTACTGAGCATGCTCAGACTGAGCATGCTCAGACTGAGACACACAGGTAACCTACACACACACAGTCACACAGTGGCCCTTTCTCATTTCTCTAACTCCCCTCCTCGACTCCTATCCTCGAGACTTAGTCCCGCCCACAGGAGATGCGAACGGAGGAGCCGAGGAGAGAGGGGGGGAAGCAGCAGGCGGTTAGAGAAATGAGAACTCCTCGTCTCTTAAAGAGACGTCCATTAATGATGACAGGAGAACACATCTGTCTGATGGACAGATGTGTTCATGACGACTTATATATTTACTTTTAATTCATTCACAGTGCGGTATAATGAGACAATAACAGGCTACAGATGCGGGGACACACACACACACACACATGTATATATTTATATAAATATATACAATTTCAGAATCAAACAGAGCACTCTCATAATAACGTAACACTATCAGAGACTGCATATATCCAAAGGACTTAGGAGAAGAGACTGCAGTACTTTAGAGCAGGGGTTCCCAACCTTTATTGTGCCAAGGACCGGCATTACATTAAAAAAAAATCGCGGACCGGTTGTCAATTTTAACTGATTTGAATATTTACTCACCAGCAGTTGGCAACAGAGGCTAATTGTATTTAACAGCCTGAAGAAATACCAATATGCATCCAAAACATATTAACAACGTTTAAAACCAGGATACAATTAAAACAAATTAGGACCACTGTACACATATTGATACAACTGAAATGTCAGTGAGACCCCTGGGCTTGTTTGCCAGCAATAATAACGAGTTGGCCAGATGTGTGGAAATTACTGTTCATGGTCATTTGAAAACAAATGCGGTTGTTGGACACACACAAACACACCGAACATACACACACACAGCATGCGCCTTTGTGACCGGACATTTCGTAGCAGCCTGCAGTGGGGAACACAGTGAAGGCGGTGTGTACGCACGCGCTGGTGCTGCACTTCTCAGAGGCTGCCTCCTGATGCTGCAGCCATTTCATGAAGTGAAGGAGGTTTTACAAATAAAAAAATAGCCCTACACCCCTGGCCACAATGTCCTTAAAATGAAGTCTGAGTTCGAAATATATCTCAAACTCAAATAATGTATGCACTGCCATTTCCCCACATAAACATAACAGTCTGCGATGAAACGGTTGTCTCCTGTGCTCCACTTCCTATTGGCGCACCGGTAACTTTCTCTGCGCCTTATGCTAACCAATTTTGATTTATTTTGTATGTTTTGGATGAAATAATATGACTGGTATAGGTGCGAAAATAAAATTTAAAAAATTGATAAAATATTTTTATATATTTATAATTCTGCAAATATTACGATAAATTCACAGCTATTTCGCGGCCCGGCAGTAACACCTCCGTGGCCCGGTACCGGTCCGCGGACCGGGGGTTAGGAACCCCTGCTTTAGAGAATCCGAATGCACTTTCACTATCCGACGTGTTTATGATGCGCCAGCGGACGTCATGAATGTGCGTCTGCTGCTGTGGGGAAACTATGGAAACCACAGTTTTCTATACAGCGGACTACAACATGGATGTTTAATAAGAACGAGGGACTACTGTAAACTCATCTAGAGACTCTGCACCGTGCTCTGAGGCTGTTGTTTTATGCTTTATGAACGTGGACAACAGAGAAACATATTCTTCATGACCAAAGTTGGAATTGAAATAAAAAAGGAAAGTGAAACGTATGCTCGTCACCCTCTCCCTCCGGTCCACATTAATACAAATGATCCCAATACGTATGATTGTATGAACTATGAAAATATCTTAAAATCAATACAAATGTATTTATTATAAACGTTAGTCCTTAACATCTATCACTGTGTATATCACCATTCAAACATCTTTTAAAAGTTGAACAAACCCCACACAGCTCAGTGAAATGTTGACTTTATTTGATCATTTCAGTAAAAACTAACGTTCATATTTCTCTCTTTGATTATAATACTGATGAACGTTCAAAACAAAGCACTTTGGCAACTTACCACATACGTTTTAAAATGCTTAATAAGCACCGTAACTGATGATATAATTTCTCCGTCATAATCGTTTGTTTCCGTGAACGGCCGACTGTTGTGTGACGCAAATGCTGCGGCTGCAAGGCATTGTGGGGCAGCACTTTCTCCTCTCCTTTCGGTTAGGGAGATCCAGTGGTTCCTAAGCTAAAGGAGGTTATAAAGGAAGTTTGAAACCTCCTTTCCTATCATTCCAGAGAACTCGAACGGCACTTATCATGGCTGCCACTGAGGGACTTCCGGGTCATTTCACTCCGTTAGGAAGGTTCCTAAGCTAAATGGACTATTCGACTTCAGCCGTGGAGGACCGTGGAGGACCCATCAGTGTATCCTCGGTTATAGCTCCCCAAGAGAGCCTCCTCGACGCTCGATCCTCGGTCCTCGAAGTGCATTTAGAGAAATGAGATGTCCTTCAACATGGCTCGCTAAAATTAATTTCCAGGTCACTACCGGAGGACCAAGGAGTCGAGGAGGGGGAATTGATGAAATGAGAAAGGGCCAGAATCTGCTCTCCACTGCAGCAACATGACGGAGAGCTACACATCAGGGCTGTGTATTAATCTATGAATATGTCAGTGGAGCGTACCATGTCATCAGCAGGGGTGGACCTTCTGATCAACAGGTGAGCAGCTTGTTTCAATGATCTGAAACGAATCAGTGTTTGTTTAGTTGAAGTGTATCTTCAGAAAGGTAGAATAGGATCAATATCATGGCAGGATAACAGCTCCTCACAACAGCTCTGTGTTTGTCAATCAGCTGTGAGTATATATCAGAATCAGAAACAGGTTTATTGCCAGGTATGGTTCGCACATACTAGGAATTTGACTTGATGTCATGGTGCATACATAAAATATAAAAAACAAGAAATCTAATATAAAACAAAAAATATTTGACACCGTAATAAAATAGTTAAATAGCAATGCAAATGTAATAAAGCAGTAATTTACATGGAAATAGAATGCTATGAATGCATTTTAGAATATAAACTATGAAATGTGAAATAAGAATGTGTGCATTAATGTAATGCATAGTCTATGATGTGGCAGAGGTAAAGTGTCAGTGGGGGGGGCCGGGCCTTGTTTAAGAGGCCGGTAGCGGAGGGGAAGAAACTGTATATGTATACAGTATATATATATATATATATGTATGTTTGCTTTTCTATTGAAGTATTTGAACCGTCTCATGAAAATATTTAGTCAACGCTGGGAACCACTGAACAAGAAGGTTCAAGGAATATTATTCACAAATTGAGGTTAAAGCTCCTATATAGGTTCATGACTTGATATGTATTTTAAATCTAACACCAAGAGAGAAATGTGATGTGTACACAGTCTTGTGCGGGGCTCTGGTAAGGGCCTCTAACGTGCTTCAGTGAAAGACAGGCTGATTAAATGGTTTTGGGTCATCATCAGTAGTGGTTCCGGGGACACATAGAGGTCTCTGTTGGAGCTCCAGAGGGCCAGAGCTAGAAGAGTAAATCAATGTTCTTTTTCTTCAATTTTTCTCCAATCTTAAAAATATAAAATAAACATCCATATGACAGACATCACAATCTGTTTCAAACGTTTTTTTGGGAAGCATCATTCTTTTAAACATAACACATTTTGCGTTGTTATGTTACTTTTGAATAAAAACAACCAAATGGTCAGAGACACAAAAGCCTTATAATAATAATAAATTCAATTCAATTCAAAACCTTTATTTATCCAGGTGAAATCCCATCGAGATCAATGATCTCTTTTTCAAGGGAGACCTGCAGCAGTAGGTTCCACATGAAGACAAACAAACATAAACAACAGAACAACAAAAGGACAATAATAATATATAACAAATTAATAAAAAATAAACCAAATTATTAGTGAATTGTTTTTTAAAACAGATAAAATAACAACAATGACAGACATCATAATGTTTTCATCGCTGTTACTGTTTCCAAAGATCTGATGAGGTGTGTGTTGGTCACACAGATACTGACAGTGTACAGGTTACATTTATTTTTATTTAATCGTGTATTTGAAGAGAGACAATGCACATTGATGAACATTTAAAACAAATAATGCTTTAAAACGTAAACATGCCGGATTTTAGCTTTGAGCTCATTTCCATCCGTAGTCCCTCACATACAACATATAAGAACATGACATGTATATAAATAGCAAAAATAATACATGATATGCAGAAAGAGCATGAGCAGCATATACAAGCATTAACCACATGGCAGTACAATGTAGCAGCTACGACATATTAAGTGCAGGAGAAGATACAAGAGCTACATAAAGTGCAAGAGGAGATACCCCTGTGTTTAAGTGCATTTAGCGGTGATTACAGGTCTGTTTGTTTCTCAACCATTCTTTGAGTTGACCTTTAAAACAGTTCAGAGCGGGACAATGAAGGCTCGATAATCAGCTCACGGCATAAAGGTGTAAGCAGGGGTAAAGTGCTATTTGTATAAGTGGATGGTAGACCTAACATCCTCTAGGGGGGTCCGGGGGCATGGTCCCACTCCCCTTTTAAACGTTATTCTGGTTTTACTGTCATATAGTATTTCATACCTGTTTTTCATTTATTCTCTTATTTTTGTATACCTATACTGATCATATCAAAAGGTGTGACTCGGAAATAATTGTTTACATTAATCGTGACCAAACCGTTTGAGACCCACTGAGATAACTTAGACTAAAGTTAGGACTCCCCTCCACCTTGTTGTTGAAAAAGCTCCTTATATCCGTTAGCGTAGCTCGCTAGCATCAGAAGCTAACAACACTATCGGCCGATACGGTGCCTCTCCTGTAGCCCCTCCCACCTCGAGAGAGCGAGGTTCATGAGATGCGCCCCAGATA